ATAAACACCTTGAGAAAGCGATGCGTAGCTGGCAGAAGGGCCTTAGCATGCGCGAGTAACATAAAGCTAAATTTATTGTAACCAGCCTATTTGGTTTTGATTATTATATATTATTTGTGTACCTTTTCTTTAAACATGACAGAGATTTCTCTCATGTTAAGGTAATAGAATAAGTGAAAATGGATAGTAAGTATAAGTAGTTTCGTATCAAATGAGCTCATGCACCCATACATGTTACATGTATTTTTGAAGTTAAATTGCATGTATTTTATTGCAACAACAATATGCTTAAGGCAATACACGGTAGGACACATCAACATTTAGCAAAACGGGATAAGGCGAATACACCCGTCTGCCAGCCGCACAAGGGAATATCCTTAAATTGCAGTCGACTATTTAAAATGATTTGTGTTTTAGACTTCTAGTAAAGAACACACATTTTACTAATACTTATATAGTTTAACCTGACCCTCGGTCTAAAAAAAAAATTGGACCTCGGACTAAGTTAATAATAATAATATTCTAGGTTTATATAGCGCTTGATAAATGTATGATGTCATTACTCTGGTCATCAATTTCAGGCTTGCCTGCACACAATGTATCCACATTCTCCACTCCCTGCGGAGCATTTCAGCCAGCCATTTTACAGTTCCTTATTTAAACCCGATTATGAACAAAAGCCTAAACACAGTATCAGGTTTAAGACAGGGTTGGCAATTGCAAGGGAAATACTGCGAAATACCGGGAAATACTGGGAAATACTCATACGCGTACTAATGAAATTGTATAATGTGAAATAGCAAACAGTAATCTGACTAAATTCCATCAATTACCCTTTAAAAAAAATCCTAGTTAATATTTCAAATAACTTCATGGGTTTCTTAGATTGTTTGTTTGGATATTCTATTCATATTTTAAAGACACACATTCAAGTTATGTTGAACAACCTTCTCATTTAGGTTACCCAGAAGCTGTAAATCTCCTGGCACGACATAAATGTCAAAATCATAACCTACAGAATAGTTGCTAAATTAAATTCTAAAGGTTCTAAATCAACATACACTGTTGGTCACAATGGTGGAATAATTATTTTTACCCCAATTTATTAAATGATTTTGACAATGATTTATTCCTAATAGATCTAGATAATAGTATACATTCTCAGATTTTATTGAATTACAAGTGGGGAATGTTTGTTTTGCGTGACTGCTAAAACATGTGTGTGCTACAATGCTAATCAACTACGGGACCTACGTCCTTAAGTCATAACTGACAGTAATGGGGATTAATACCTCATAAAAGGGCACTTATATAGTACATCGACACGGTTTTGATCCTGGGGGCTCACAGTAACGAGAGCACATTTTTTTTTTTTTTGCTCTCGAAAATTTGAAAATTGTGGCGGTCGAAAAGTCGCTCAGTGCGGGGGGGGGGGGGGGGGGGGGGGGGGGGGGTAGTGAGCACATTTTTTTTTTTTTTGTTCCCAAAAATTAGAAAATCGCGGCGGTCGAAAAGTCGCTCAGTGCGGGGGGGGGGGGGGGGGAGGGAGGGGTAGTGAGTATATTTTTTTTTTGGTCCTCGAAAATTTTAAAATTTGTACCCCCTTGAGCGCCAGGGGGGGGGGCCCAACCCCCAAAACAGGTAAAAAATCATGTGATTTTACGTTATTTTTTTCTTAAGGGAGGAGGCCCAGGCCCCCCCCCCCCCCCCCCCCCCCCCCTGGATCCGCCACTGCTGCCACCCCCCCCCCCACTGAGCGAAATATTGGGTGGCACAATTTTCAAATTTCAGCACACTAAATTTCAAATTGATTTCAAAATTTGGGCCCCCCCCTAAGAAATCCTGAATCTGAGCCTGGTGACCCACTTGTGATTTAAAACCCCTCAGCATATCTAGCCCAGCGTTAGGAATATCATTACAGCTCTTCGTTTTGAAAGCGTCTAACTGATCAAGTGAAAAGCCAAGTGAAAGTTCTAGTCCAAGATATGAATCTAAGTTGAGTTGCTGAGACAGGTTTAACAATTCAATGTCCTCAACATGTTTTCCAGGACATAGTTTGGTGTTCCGTGGAAGTGTTGTGTTTGGACCAAGACTAACTTGTGACCTCGGCAGATTGCTGTATGTAAATACAGGTTATATCAATGAAAATGGTGGTGATCATAATAATGACAACTACATTTTCTACATCGTTTTACCAGGTACCCATCGATTTCTTAAATCTGTAGGCATACTATTCATTACACATGTTACATGATCATTTGATAAAGGTGTTGATCATTTACCTACTACAGAGAAAGTGCGATCTTCAGGTTGATTGCCTCGATCAATGAATACATGAAATCAGAGGTGTTGTGGTCTAGTGGATACGTCCAATAGACCATCATTGATCATGTAACATGTGTACTGTAATGAATAGTATGCCTACAGATTTAAACTTCTCCTTTTAAAAACGGTCCATATTTTGTCCTTGATTCTTCCCTACACCTCATTAAATTATTTTCCCTTCCGTTTCTTGACAACAAAATCTCTTTAATTCATGCAAATACAGAATAGCTACTCTGTATATGGCATGTAGGTTGTTCTATTTTTACAAGGGAATACTAAACCGAACTATCCAAATCAGTCACAAAACAGTTTCAGAAAAATAAGGGAAAGTAATATTGCTCGCAGTCACAGAAGCTAGCAGCAACACAATTTCAGGAAGTTCAATTTATACATGGGCACTGTGAAAGCAGATAATTATGTCCAAATGAACATCTTGCTCTCATGTATCAAATTCACAAAACCGTTGTGGAGTAAAGAAGAAATTATACACGTACTGGCTGTTAAATTTCAATACAAGAAAGTTTTTATCATAATCAAATGACTTCAAATGACATTACTTTTTCATCTCTGAGGATTTTCCCTTTTTCTTGCAAGCTCTCAACCCGGCGTCTGTTTTGAGCCAGGGGGGGGGGGGGGGGGGTGGGGTGGGGGTAGCTTGGTGTAAAACTTATATACGGGGTTAAGACCCCTATGGAACGTAGCATTATTAACTTACATGGGTTGACTGAAGTTTGAGGCCTTGGGCATGCTACAGTGAGATGAAAGGCATGGCGGAGAGTCAGCTTCGAGTTTTTGCCCTTGAAACAACAACAAAAAGTGACACATTTAAAAGTATAAAAACTATCCTCATTGATCTAATCTTACTCCTGACACCAAGTATGATAACAGGTAGCCCCCACTTAATTGACAAAAGAGATAATATTCTATATTAACTTATATAGAATGGTAAGACATTTGTGAGCTCATTGAAAAGACAGCCCACATTCAAACTGAGAAATGTTTAATGCCCTACCAAACTTTGACTTGACTGCAGCCGTAAGGAAGCTATGTAGTCCACACTGGAGTGACTTTCCCTTGAAGCAGTCTTGGAACCGTTTCTTCTTACTGCAAGTTGGGCATAGAAAGCAGACATCGTATTTGATCCTTTTAGCCCACTGCTGCCTAAGGCTATCAAGGGATCTTGTTACGAAGTCCATTACCTGCCATAAAAACACAAACAACACCAAGATAGATATTTTATTTCATTTTTTTTTTTTTTTTGGGGGGGGGGGGGGGGGCATCTTCAAGCTTATTTAACTTTGATTAAAATTCACAACTCACAATAGAGAATTGTACAACGAAAATGTCATTAGGATAGTGCATTGATCACAGGCCACACTGGCTCAATGTCTCTTAACCCGTTGACTACTGGATTCTCCCATTCCCATAGGCTTAACACAGTAGATAATGGGTTAACATAACAAAGTCTGGGACACATGGACATGCATTAATTGCGTTTGCCATTATGGGTGGAGAAAAAAACTTCCTCTCATCTTTCTGATACATAAAAAGTACATATATTTTGAGGTTTGTTTCTCATGCATCTCGAAGGAAATTAATTGTGAACTATTAAAGATAAAGTTGAGTTCTGGTCATGCAATTGTATTGTGAAAGAAACGGTGTGGAATCGATCAGAAAAGGTTGATCATCTAGCATATAAGTATTGGTGTGTATTGCAAGGTTATGGAATCATCAAAATGATAAGAAATTTGGCTTAGTCTTGGTAAAGTTAAAAGCACTGTCCATAGAAAGATGTATATGGGACTACATAAACATGTGGCTTAAGAATCCGTCCCGATTTTTACGTTACATGCCATATTTAGAATATTAAGGCATTTGAAGAGCCATGCTTTTCAGGGAATATTTTTATCTGATGTTCTTCCACACTTGCATTATACAATGATAACGCTCACAAATTATTTTCACCTCTTCCCAGAAATCAACCATTTCTTTAATATTCTCTTGGAAGTTCATTTACAATTGTGCAGTAACCTACTGACACAGAAGAGTTTGAGACAGGTCTACCATTTTGATGAAGTACACAGTTTCACAGTTTGATAGCTAAACCACAACATAAACAGGATGTAGAATATGGCTTTACTTAACCAGACTCAGAAATAGAATAAGAGCTAATCCTGCCTTCAACTGTAGTTGTTTTCTTTAATAGTCAAGTTTTAGTGCCCTTTGGTCTAACTTTACTATCGCCTACTCTAACTGGACTTAAAGTCCCACCACACTTCAAAACATGGACCATTGATGTCAAATCAACTACAGTTTACTCTGCATTACTCAAGTACACATAGATTTTTTGTATGTTAAAGTTTTGTTACCAACCTAAGTAAATCATGTTCACACTTCCTAAGTCGAATTTTGCCTAAGTCAAACTCTTTGTTTGCGGTCCCAACCGATTCTACCTTTGCAGAGTTAACTGTATTTACTTTTTTCTATTAGAAACACACGTTCTATATGACACATCCAAAAACTGTTTACCTGTGCCAGTTTCAATTCTATGGTTCAGAGACCTTTTCAGATGTGTACTGGCAGACAAAAGCCAACTACCAGTTTTCTAATTGAAAACAAAAAGATGAAAGCCGCGTCGCAAATGTCAGAGAAATGGTATGCGCCTCCATCTCTGTTCATTGTACTAATTGAAACCATCCTGTTAAGCTACCTACCTCTTTGACAGCACTTGGGGCTGGAGGTTTATGACTATCCCCATTATGATCAGAATCAGCCACCGCTCCTCGGTATACAGTGACCTGACATATTCAGAATCCAACGTAAAGGGAAAAAGATTAAGAAATTATTTACCGGTATGTGATGGTGTGTAAATGTGTACGGTTTCCCTCAATTTTGAGAGGGTTATTTAATGTATAAAATTATCAATAAATGTATTTATTCTGTGTTCATTTTACAGAGTATGCTCTTAAGCAAACACACACAAACATGATTTGAAGGAGAGCATCTATTACATTATACAATTAAAATACAATGAGGGTTGTCATACTATCAAGCTTTGCTTATTTTGTCAACCCTCCTGTTTGATGTTTTCGATTAGTTACAGCCAACCTTACTTTATTCTACATATATTCTTTTGTCATGTGTAAATTTGCAATGTTTGTTTGTTATATATTTGTAAATATATATTTGATATTCCGAAATTGAACTTACGCTGTGTTTCGATACCATGAACCTTCATATCAAATTTCAGTAGAATCCTTCAAACATTACTAAAGTTATCGAACGGAAAGCAAATTCGCATATTTCATGAGCTATGAACTTTGACCTACATACTCGGAAATTGAACTTAGAACTTAGGATGTGTTTTGATACCATGTACCTTCATCTCAAACTTGTTTCATTAAATTCCGTCAAACATTATTAAAGTTATCGAACGGAAACCAAATTTGCATATTTCATGAGCTATGACCTTTGACCTACATACTTCGAAATCAAACTTAGGCCGTGTTTTTATACCATGTACCTTCATATTAAATTTCATTAAAATCCATCAAACATTACTGAAGTTATCGATCGGAAACCAAATTTGTTACGGAAGGAAGGACGGAAGGACAGAAGGATGGAAGGAAGGACGGACTGCAACGTTACTACCGTATATCCCCTCCAACTTCGTTGGCGAGGGGATAATAACTAAATATAACAATACATTACAAAAGATTAAAAATAGAAACAAGCATTGGACTTGTGATCATATCTTAAATATACTTATTAGCTAAGAATATATGTGTATTTAAAACCAATTAAAAAACATACACAAAGGTTGAGTTATTATCAGTTGCCGCTTTTTAGATTAGAGCACTAAGAACGAGACCTTGATGCTGTATAGCAGGTAAAGTTTTCAGGGTTACACAATGTACTACTTTCAAAGGAATAAGAGACCTGAAGAGCTCTTGGTTGTCTACGTATCGACAGAACGATCTGATCGTCTTCAGGAGAACTACCATAACGTTGCCAGGTTGAGGCTATTTATTGCCTATGAAGGGATCCGATGCGCGGTCTTAAAAACTTGACCTACAATTCAGTATCTCCACCATGACAAAAAAGATATTGCTGATACTTGACTCAGACCTTGATAGTTGCTTCATGGGGAGGTTTCATCTCCAGTAAGGCATGATGCTCTTCATCAAACATTAGACTGATGTGACGATAGAAAAGATTGACTGGTTCCCCATCTCTTTCACCCATCCATCTGACTGCTCTCGCCATCAACCGATGAAACAGCCCATCTTTGGAAAAGGCAAACAAGAGAGATGACCAACAGATTGTGGCTAGTGAAGTTTTGAAAGCACACTAAAAAATGTATTAGCTGCAATAATACTTCAAAACTAAACTCCGACTATTAACAAAGTCGTAACTATGCCTAGTGGTTTCTACACCTGACCACCTTGAAACGTCCTTAATTTGGCAAGACATTAATTTACATTTTCCGCTCTCCACCCAGGTGTTAAAGAAATTCCTTGATTTGCTGGGAGCAACCTACAATCATAAGCCCAGCAGAGCTGGGGTAATATTGGTGCACATTGAGCACCTTGCGTGGTGGATAATTTATGTACACTCCGAAATTATCCAATATTGAAGTGGTTCAAATCCATATGTGAGATGGACATATTAAACTTCAAACTGTGGATGCATGGGTCATCCTTGGCAAGAACCTATAAAGATCATTCAAACTTGTCTATCAAGGCCACTTAAAGAAAATAGAGCAAGTGGCCACTGTTGAAATGTGGTCTTTCTAGACACACATTTATTTTCTGAGGGAGACAAAATACATGGCCACATGTCTAGAATAGCCATGTAACATGGCCATTCTAGACATGTGGCATTTATAGAAAGGAGGCCACTGTAGGCAGGTTTGACTTTATACAAACCTTTGTGCAATATAATTGCCATATAGTCTCTTTGGAGCAAGAAGGGCATTAACTCCACGATACATTACACGTGTTAACATCCTTGTGGCCGTAAACAGATGATGAATTCACCCTCACCTGGTAAAAAGCCTCTGAAGTCCACATAAAAGTCTGTAGAAGATTTGATCCGTTCAATCTCCTCTTGGGGGCATGGTGATGTTAGCCTGGAAGGAACATAGTAGCGCTTCTTTACCACCTTCTCTGTTTCATTTGATACCTAACATATCAAAACATATCCAAACATAAATTAAAAACAAAAAATATACCAAGATAAAAAAAAAGGTTCTTCAAGATCTAAGCAAAAAATAAAGCTTTTCATAATTCACTCATCGTTTCATTTTACACATCCCATTCCTGCTACTAAATTGTTGACCGATTGAGCAATTTTGATTCCAAATTTCAAAAATAGACATTTTGGTACCATTTCTAAAAGCTTTCGAAATTCTACTTAGTCCCTACATTTCACAGCACAAAATAACATTTTCAAAGGAACATGTTTGGAAAGATATAATAAATTAGTTAAATCAGGACTGATTTTATTATTTACTATATAAATCTATGTATGTACCTATTATTGCTTAGCCCTCCAGACAAACAAGCCATCGAGAGAAAACAGTCACAAACGTGTATACCCCCACCCCAGAACCCCGCCAACCTCCAGCTCATGCGCGGAACGCACGCACACCTAATCATCCTCTCACGAGCAGCCCAAGAGAAAACTTGGGACATGTTGCTAGTCAAGGAGAGGGGACGGAGGGAGGGACATAGGTAGATAAATAATAAAATCAGTTCTGATTTAACTAATTTACCACAATAAATCATATGTATCTACCTATTATTGCTTAGACCAACACATATGAAAGCGGGAGGCATGTCCCAAGAAAGGGGTTAGCAGGGGAACCAGGGAAGACGCTGCCGCAAACAACGGCGCTGTAGCAAACGATTCTTCACCTGCCGCAAATCCCTTAAGGAAAAACGGCTGTGAAGGAATCATGAGAAAGTCAAAAGGCAGTTTTGCGGTGAAGCAAAAAAACGCACCATAAAGAGAGCAGCGGGTACCAATACCCGTGGCATGTCCCAAGAAAGAGGTTAGCAGGGGAACCAGGTAAGACGTTGCCGCAAACAACGTCGCTGTAGCAAACGATTCTTCACCTGCCGCAAATCTCTTAAGGAAAATCGGCTGTGAAGGAATCAAGAGAAAGTCGAGAGGCAGCTTCGCGGTGAAGCAAAAGAATGCACCATAAAGAGAGCAGCGGGTACCAATACCCGTGGCAATAGTGAGCCCAAGGCTCGGCACCAGAAAAATGGGTCTCAGGATCCGCAGACTGGGTGTCTCTGACGATGGATTCCCAAGAAGGCAGACAAAGGGCTCATGGGGATAACAAAGAGTTGACTTTCACTGCGGCAAGTCTTGGTTATTTTCAAAAATAAACCAACGCCCATCAGAGACTAAATCTCACTTCCAGTAACAGAGGAAAAATTAGCAAAAATAATCCGCCTTTCAATAGTGCTTCAAACGTCTACAAGGACTCTAAACGCTTGGCAGCACAATTATTACCCCGGACCTCAAATCCAGACCTGCCTGTATTCTGAGAAAGCACCTTTCCCAAAACCTGGGGAGAGGCCAGCAAGAGAATTGAAACTTACAACCGGTCCGAAGGGAAAATCTTGCCACCGGAGAGGCTATCTGCAATCAGATGTGCGGAAGCACATTTGGATGTTTTCCGGTCTCAGAGACCAACCTGCCATGGCGATAACCGCCCTACCTCAAGTGGGAGGCATCTGTCACGAGAGAGAGACCAAGGCAGAGAAAAGCAGGGCGGTTCGCGCCCAGGCCACAAGAGCGAGAGGAGGAATAATCCCGCACGGAACGGACATCCGAACCGAGATAGGATCAATGCTCCAAGGAAGCTCCGAAAACTTAGTTGATGAGAGCTTACATACTACATGGAATGCAGAGGAAGGTACCGCTGAATCCGCAATGGAGACTGTGACCTCACAACAATAGCCAGTGGACCAAAAAAGCGAAGGTTGGAGGCCGCTTTTTTGGAGACCACGGCGAGTGCTGGATAGCGGAGCGGCAACTGGACTTGGAAGTCTTAGCCGACTGTCTCGGGCGAAACTATATCGCCAGTGACAAGAGGTCCCCCAGGACATTATTTTTGATGCTCTTTCGGAAAATGAAGTAAAAAATGAGAAATTCTAAAATTAGATTTTTGATGACGTCACATTTTACCACTCTATACAAAGGCCACTACGAACAAAAGGTCAACGAGCCATCTTAGTGTCAACAAATTATTCTAAATTAGTAGCAAACAAAGGCCGCTATCAACAAAATTTCCTAAACGAGTAGTGAAAAAACCCACTACGAACGAAGGAATCAACAAGCACATATTAAAGCACAAGGTATGCACAAAAATTCTGTAACAAGTTTACAATACAATACACACAGCCGACTAGGCGTAAAAACTTGGTACACGAGAAGTCGTGAACGGGACTGAACAGTATGCACGTCCTTGACTTTTTTCTCTCAATGGCTTCCTTGTCTGGAGGACTAAGCAATAATAGGTACCGGTAGATACATATGATTTATTGTGGTAAATTATGATATCCAAAATAGGACATTGTGGACCCGTTTTCAATCCTGAGTCAATTTGTGCAACAAACCTATATACAAAGCTGGTACATGTCTCTTGTTTTGCTCCTTTATTGTCCGTATATTTCTAGTCACAATATTCTGAGGTTAAAGGTGTGTGTGTGTGTTGGGGTTTTACAGACGTGTATCAATCAAATATGATTATTTACGTCTGGGGACCGACTTTTAGCGTCACCATCCGAAAGACGTGACTCAGTTTCGAACCTGCGTCCTCGGCTGAATCAGTTTGTAACTTCCACTGTTAGCTGGATTATAGGCGCACGCCACAACGCAGTAGTTAAAGGGAAAGTTGAGTTCTTGTTTAAAGGTAATACAAAGTTTTGGGCAATTTTGAAAATTGGGTGGATGGTGATTCTTTACAATTTTGGTATATTTGAATGCCCCTGTGGATGTATTATAAGCACTAGAAACTTTGGCTCCTAAAACACTTCTGCTTTCGAGAAATATTGAATATAAAAATTTACCGGTGCTCCTGGTAAATCTTGATAAATTTCAAATAGCGCCTACGTCCGCACAATGGTGAACCATGAAAATCTCAGAATATGTAGTTGTGATATATAATTTCCAAACGGGAATAGCTAATCGGTCGATTTAGTCAAGAAGCATTGTTCTTTAGCTTAATTAATATCTTGACCTTGAGAGGGAGCTATACAACATAAAGAGTTCATTATTTACAATTTCATAACTTTAGACTCGATTTCAATCGCGACAACAATCACTGAATATTGTAGGATCGCATATGCTTCTAATATGTTCATTTTAATCAAATTCATGACCCCATACCAAAACTTTGTTTTACCTTTAAGACCGCAAATGCCTTTAAAGTGCATGGTTATTGCTCTTATTAATATTTATGACATTTCTAGTGGTCTTTTAGGGCCTAAAATTGCTATAAAGGTAATTTTAGATTCCAAAATGTGTGGAATTGAGCCAATAAGATCATACTGATTCAGCTCCACTTTCAAAAAAATATGTGACCATTAATTAATTAATTAATTAATTAATAATAATAATACACAGGCCGGCTGGTTGTGCGTATTATAAACTACACAAAAAGGCCAACAAATAACCAACATCGGCATTGGCTGGAATAAAACATATAAGGCGCTATCTCGTTTTTTCAACGGCTGGTTCAAATTATCTAATATTTGTGGTAGCACACAGATATTAGAAATGATTATATTTATGGATATTTCAGTCGTCTCTGAACCGATTTTGAAAAAACAAAGATGATTTTTTTCTTTTACATTGTATGTTCTCTCAAATTTGACACTCGGTTGTCTCTTTCTCACAAAAAAGGTTATTTTGTGTAGCGCCCTCTGCAAAGGAACTCAACTATCACTTTAACGTAAAACATGATGATGTTTAGCCCCTGCGATAATTGCTTCGTGGTAATTTCCTATTCCAACAAAATTCCTTACTTCAGCACTGGATCATACAATATACCCTTACTTTAACCCTAAACTGAAATCCAATTTTAACCAGGACCCTAACCCTATACTCTTGATAACATAAAACCTGGGGCATTGCTGCGGGCCGGCCGGAGCACGGGTAGGAGCACCATTTAGCTGGAGATTTACCTCAGTGTCCACTTCATCCTGTTGCTCTTGCTGGAGTCGTTCTACAGGAGCCTCACAGATGAGATCAAACTTGGCCATAAGCTTGACTAAGGCCTCCTTTTGCTCCAAGAAGCTTTGCCACATATGCTGAATCAACCTATCCTCTAAGATACCATCCTTCTCAAGAGAGGTCCAAGCATCACTCACGATCCCGTCCTGGAATTAAAACACAATGTCAACTTAATGGCAGTTGGAATAACTGGACATATGAATATAGTTTGTAAACTACTTCTACATGGTGAGGTGAAAGCTTTGTTACATCAATGTCATACAAAATATGTCATTCTTCTCAATACTCTAAAACTCTGTCTCTTAAGAGACTTCTTTACAGTCTTTTTCACATAGGTCATAGTGGCACACTTTACCGCAATTTTTTAAAAAGTGTACTGTACTTCTAATTTTATATTTTTTAACACATAGATTGTGTCTGAATCCGATAAGGAGGAAAAGATTCATAATAATGTAAAGCTAATACATACATTGTTGATGTATTAAGCTAGCTCTATATAAACCCAGAATATCATTTTCAATGGAGGGGAGGTTTCTTACCCTCTCTGCAGGATCCAGGATGGTTATGACCTGCTTGAAGACATCAATAAGCCACTGAGGATTAAGGATCACCATGTCACGTAGGAGAGACTGGTCGTCTTCAATGCCTCCGTAGTATACTACGTACCCCAGGTCATGGTAGAAGGTCAGCATCGTGAGAAGTTCATGCTCTGAATCCATTCCGACTGGCTTTGACAGTTCCTTGGTCTGGGAGAATTTAAAAAAACGGCTTCAAATTCAACAAATGATTGGTAAACTAGATGGAACTTTGACTGCGCGCAATCTGAAATGATGCCTCCGCCAAAGGGCAATTTACAAATTAAAACGGAAGCAGTTTTTGAAATTCAAGTTTGATTGTAATCCATCTGTCGGTTCTAATGATAATGCGTTCACAAGCTATTTATAGGCATACATATTGAGATTCATGACCTTTGACCTCACGACCCTAAAATCTAATCAGTTCATTGGCTCTGCAAGATACATACAGGACCCAAGTATGGCGATTATCCATCGATCAGTTCTTGAGATAACGCGATCACGAGCTATTTTTGCATACATAATGAGCCCTATGACATTTGACTTCGTGACCCCCAAATCTAATCAATTCATTGGCTGTGCAAGATACTTACATGACCTAAGTTTGGTAGTAATCAATCAATCGGTTCTTGAGATAACGCGATCACGAGCTATTTTTGCATACATAATGAGCCCTGTGATCTTGTGACTCAAAAATCTTAGCAATTCATTAGCTCTGCAAGATACATACATGACCCACGGGGGTAATCCATCAATCGATTCTTGAGATAAAGCGATCACGAGAACGGGGCGTACGGACAACCAGAAAACATAATGCCTCCGGCTATTTGTAGCGGAGGCATAACAACATCACAAATAGTATCTATGAAATAAATAAATATAATAACTGTAGCTTTACATTTTACACAAGGCATGAACAGAATATAAACATCTATGAAGTATTACTCTAACAGAAGGCAACTTGGCGCCCGAATCTTATGCTGAGATTTTCAAAGGCACTACATCCTATTATTAAGACGGGTATAAACTGGGCCATTGACAAAATTGAAAGAGTATAATATAGTATACAAAATGTACCAAGCTGTGAGAAAGTATAGTGGAAATTATTTATCTGAGGAGGGACTGGCATAGTACTATTGCCAGTGCTCGTATTAATATTTATGACAAAATCCCCGGGACGAAGCCCGTAGGGATAACGACCGTCAGAATTGACAGGGCAATGTAACAATGCCAACGTCGATTCCAAACGTTGATGTACGGAAGCACATTCAAATGGTTTCCGGTCCCAGAGAATAACCTGCCTTGGCGATGTCCGCCTTACCCCAAGGGGGAGGCATCTGTCATGAGAGAGAGCAAGGAAGAGAAAACTGAATTTAGACAAGGATTATGAGATGAAAACGGTACAACGAATCGTCTTCTTTAACGTCAAAGCTTCCTGCGAGAAGGGAAACTAAATTCAGACAAGGGTTAACTCTTATCATGCCACAAGGCTTATTCCCATTGTGCCAAGCCCCAAATCCCCCTGTGCCAGGTTGTTGAGGAGAAAATCTGATTAACCGATGGTTCTTTGAATGGCGAGTGCAAAACACACAGCACAGTCTAATGGGCATGAACAATAACTGCTATTACAAATGCTGCATTGCACGCACATGGCACTCAAGCGATAGCTCTCTCGCATGTACAAAGCACTATAGCGATACCGTGCATGTAGCCTTATGGCAGGCTATGAGTTCAGAGTGAAGAGAACGGTACAACGAATCGTTTTCTTTCTCTATTAATTTGATGAAACGTCAAAGTTTCAGCGCTTGCGCGCTATGTAAGTGAATCGAGCAAGCAAACCGCCCCCCCCTAAGATAAAATCCTTGCTACGCGCTTGCTGCAAGAGCACTAATAGCAGCAGGAGCTGAAGGCTTAACCCCCAACAAAGGGCTGACGGCACAGGGAGGAAAGCCAACATCTGAGAATCAGATATCGAATCCGAATCCGAATCTGAGTCAGGTGCCGGCCGAAGCACGGGTACGGGTAGGAGCTAAGCCCTCGCTTACAATCGGGAGTGCCTATCGGGTCTACTAAAACCCCAGTAGCCCGACTATTGGCTCCCATAGACATGGTAACAATTTTGACGCCAAAACCGACACACTCGAGAATTGGAGTATACATGTGAATCCGAGTACTCTGCGACCAGGTTCAGCTCAATGCCGAGCCAACGCCCGCACAGGGTGATAAATTTGACGCCAAACCTTGGGCGCCTGTCGGAACCACTGGTAGCCCCAGTTGCCAGAACGAATGTATCATCGAACCCTGAAGCTCCGCCTGAGCGGATACAGAAAAGGCTGACCAGAGCTTTTGACGCCAAACCTTCGGCGCCAGATTACTTCTTCGCCTCCTCAGCTACCGACCAAGCCAGAAAACACGCTGCCGCTGCCGAACAGTCTAGCTTCATGTCCGGTGGGACTGGGGCCATATCGCCTCACCGCTTCACAGGAAGCCTAAGCGAGCACGGAACCGTCGCGCTCCACGGAGGTGGATGGAACCACCTCGCTTTAGAAAACGGGGTCACTCCCGAACATAATGTCGGTTGTGAACCCAGGGTCACCTCCGCGCCTAACGGCACGGATTGTTGTAAAGCAACAACGCCACGGCCTGCGGTTTCTACAAGGCGAGATGTTCCGGTCAAGGGGGCACGGTTGTAGCAGTCTTTCTATTCTCGGCGCCAGCCCTACATATAGACTGAAAACTACCAAGGTTGGGTGGACACATGGGCTGAACCTGGCGGAACAGTAGTTGTTTGTGAAAAGCCCTAAGCTCTGCCAGAGCGGTAGCAGAAAAGGCTGAATTTGGCGTAAATTTCTTCTGAAACGGCCAAGGGAAGACACCCGTGGTGAAGCCGACACCTTCCCCAGAAGAGCAGCAAGAAAAGTAGGAGCTGAAGACCAAACCCCTCACCAGCGGGCCGACGGCACGGGGCGACGATTTTGACGCCAAAGCAAACACTCTTGAAAATTCAAAGAATGAATCTGGATCAAAGTACGGTGTGACCGGGACTGGCTCAACGCCAGCAGGGCACGGGTAAAAGTAGGCACTGAGCCACCGCCCGCAAAGGGTGACAGAATTGACGCCAAGGGCTGACCTTGGCGTAGATTTCTTCTTCCGAGCTCCTGACCCAGCCAAAGCTTGGAAGCCAGAGGGGTGCTCCACGGCCGTGCTAGCTCCTTAAGCTAGGCTTTATGACTGGTGTGACCAGGGCATCGCTAGCTTTCTTAAGCTTGGTTTTTACGGTCGGTGTGAGCAGCGTCGTCTCGCTCCAACGCTTCACGGGAAGCACGTAACCCTCGTTTCACGTAGTTGATTTCAGGCACCTCGCTAGTGAAAACAGGGTCACTCCCGCACAAAGTCGGCCGTGAAACCCAGGTCACCTTCGTGTTTGTTAACAGTTAACAGACCCACGGGCCTTGAAGCCCGAGGCTTTTTACAAGGCTGACATACCCCGTTAGGGGCTTAAGGCTTGTAGTAGTCTTTATATTCTCGGCATGGTGAATTTGAGGAGATATAAACAAACAAGCTTTCCAAAGAAAGCAAAACAGACGAATCAACAAGCTTTTTCTTAAAGCGTCCTAATGAGTAACAAAGAGTCAACGAGCTAACTTAGCGTTAAAAATTCTAAATGAGTAGCAAACAAGGCCGCTACGAACAAAGAGTTAACAAACTTAGCTTAGCGCCAACAACATAACTAGAACGAGTAGTGAACAAAATACTACTCGAACAAAGGAGTCAACAACCGTTAACAATAACTTCAAGAAACAAAGAGGTATGCACAACGAATTCTGTACCAAGTCGTGCTATACACACACACAGACACTGACTAGGTGTAAAAAACTCGTACTAGAAAAGTTGTGAACGAGACTGAACTCAAGACGGAAGTAAGCTCGGCAAAACTAAACACTAATTTTTGCCAAACAAAATGCGACTAAGCCCAAACCCGAACCAAAATCGGGACGGAAATTTACCCCCAAAAGCGACAAGAAGTTAAAATCTCTTAATTTAGTGCACGGTGACTTGTATGCAGAGAAGATGGCTGTGAGAAAGATAGAGATTATGTGTGTGCGTTCCGCGCGTGAGCTGGAGGTCGGCGGTGTTCTGGGGTGGGGTATGTATGTTTGTGGCTTTTTTCTCTCGATGGCTTGCTTGTCTGGAGGACTAAGCAATAATAGGTAGATACATATGATTTATTGTGATAAATAGAGCATGCGCAGTGCTGTCCAGGACAAAATAGTAAAAGCTATTCGGAGCTCTGGCAGAGATTTGTTTTACCTAGTGAAATTATATTTTATCCCCTGAACACAAGTTGACCAATCATGTATTAAGAATATCATGAATATTCATAGAAGGAAAATAACAATACATATTCCCAACAAATATCAGGAGAGTTGTACAAAGCTATGAATAAATGAAATAAGGACTAAACTTAATTTTCCTTGGAAATGAAATACATAAAGAACCAATTCGTTGGAAAATTCAGTACATAAAAATGGCAAATTTGAAGAAAAATAATAATTTCAAAAGAATAAAACTCAATTTGGATTTAAAAGTCTTAAAATTCAAATGTGAACTACATGTCTAAACAATTGCGATCTAATTTTCTTCCACTTCAATATCTAACAAAAAATGGCACAAATAAACGTTGCACTCGTACCTTATCTAATGACAAGTAATTGTTTTTGTCTGCAGCCAGAGCTTCCTCAAATAAGAGCCATCTGAGTGGAATCTCTTCTCCCATGTAAGGCTCTTTCATCGCTACTTTCTCAATATCTTTCTTCAATTCGACTAGCTACAAAGGAAAGAAGTTATTGGTTGGTTTATTATTGTTTAAACTCTATAACGTGACATATGCAGCTCGGACATTGTCTATCAGATATTTACATCATGATAAACACATAGAAATAAATATCACAAAATAACAATGGTAACATCACACAGCAATACTAGAAAAGATTTAGAAAAATGTATCTAGGATGTGTATAAACAAAGGCATTGTCATTAAATATTCAACGATAAAGTCAATTGAGCATGTTCAAGAATATTAGACTTATTGCACAAAAATATCACTTTAAAGTCAATTGATTTTACGTAATAAATACCTATAATTGATTTTCGTTAAGCACAATGGATGAAAATCAATGTCTGTATAACCACATGTACTACCTAAATATTATAATTTTGTCATGAGCAATAGATTAAAATAAATGTTATATTATTTTACTTAATAACTTTTTGGGAATTAGCATGAAATTGAAAGTGTTTTGGGAATTATCATATAATCATATGATTCTTTGAGTGAGGAAATATTTGGAGCAATTTGTGCAGCACTTTGTAACTGCAAGGAGAAGCCACATTACCTTTTGGATTGGATAGGTAATCCGTAAAACGGCTTTTGCTACAGGGTTACTATAAATTGTGATAGTTGATAATTATTTTTGTTGTACCTCTTCATCTTTGTCCTCTAAGCTGTTTTCAATGGCATAAAACTTGGGGACTACATGGCACTCAAACGGCTTCTTCTTGATAGATTCGCGGATCTGCTCAAAGGCACAGTGAATCTAGAAGACAAAAATAGTGATATGAGCAGAAAATACGCATCTTAGTCATAATGTTATTCATACCTCACTTTAGATGAGAACATGGATAATCTATGCAAACAAACAGAATGCCGATATGAAACAGCATTATGCAATTAAAGTCCACCATGATATCTCATTGGTATTTAAATAAGGGAAAATAAGAGAAACAGATCAGTGAAGAATCAAACAAAATCTGTCTAAAAATAAGAATGTCATTACATTTTAAAATTGATATCAATGAAACGCAAATTGGATACTCTATTAATTTTCTTTTAAAGTTCTCTCACATTTGCATGGTAGTGCAAAATTCATGAATTTTCATTCTCTAGCTTATCAATGAAGAAATGGGGCTGTGTAAAAGATATTTATAATGATTACATCTAGGGTGCGCCATATGACTGAAAATTTTGTTTGGATGAAATAAATATTAATTTAAATGTATAAACCTATTTAATCAGATAATGCTCTAATTTTCACTGATCCGTTTCTCTAATTTTCTGGTACTATCAACACCAAAATAATATCAGGAAGAACTTTTCCTTTAAAATATCCATTCACAAGAAAGTGTAAATCCAAAAGCTATATCTAGTCCAGCTGTTCAAATACCATAGGGTAGCCCAAATCCACTGCCAAACTGACTCCTAACTGAATCCAAATGACCAATGCGATGGCCACTTAGGGTTAGGAGGTGTTAGGAGGTGAGATTCCGGTTGGTCGCTCAATCGAAACCTTGACAATGGATCGGTCAGTTGTGAATGGTTCGGTCAATGGTGACACGCCTAGCGGATTTTGTGATATGAAAGAAAGAGACCAAGAGGAGGGAAAGCTGAAGGCAGCGAACGCTGTTCAATCAACTGAGATTTGGGAAATGGAGGGAATAGTGATCGACAGTGGTACTGCTTGCAAACAAGATGGAGCAAAGGGAGGTGAGAAATCTAGAAAGACGAATGCAATAAAGGAGAATGTTATGGCTGAAATGAACGGAGTTGGGGAAGGAGAGATAAGTGGAGTGTCTGAAGATTTGCAATCTAGCATTAAAGCTACCCTCTTGTCGAAACTGGTAATCGACGCTATCGTCAAGGCGGTGTCCATTGCTGTAACCGAGAAGGTCTCGAACGACGTATATACAGCTTTAGAGTTTGACCTTGAGTCGAAAGTGGCCAACATCACCAAGCTGGAGAGAGAAATGTCAACACTGAAGAGAGAGATAAAGGCATGCCACGAAGCCAATGAAGAGCATGAGCTTTATAGCAGAAGAAACTGCTTACGGTTCCATGGCATCCACGAATCGCCGGAGGAGAATACAGATGATTTGGTTATTGAAGTGGTGAAGGAGAAATTGAAAATTGATCTGAAGCGAGAAGATCTGGATAGGAGTCACAGCTAGATTCCTGTTCGCGGGCGACGTAGGGAAGGTGATCGTGGGGCTCCACCTAACCCCATCATCGTGAAGTTCATTCGCTACAATCGTCGAAGAGAGATATATGACTCGCGGTCAAAACTGAAAGGAGCCAACATCTTCATACACGAGGACCTGACTCGAGAACGCAGTGACCTCCTCTTCTAAATGATTTGCCGAAAGTTGTGCGAAATTGCTCCATATCCCTTTATGCAAACGACACTTGTGTTTATTTTGCCTCTAAAGATCCGCTTCAGTTACAGAAAATTTTAACCGAAGATCTAGTGACAAATTGGTTTTCACATAATGAATTACTACTTAATGAAAGAAAGTGTAAGTTTATTCTGTTTGGGACAAGGAAAAATCTTTTGAAATTTCAGCATGTCAAAGTATGTATCAATGGTAATTCTCTGGAAATTACTGACGAATTAAAATATTTAGGTGTCATTTTGGATAAATCATTGTCATGGTCCCCCCAAATTGAAAATACAAAATCAAAGATACTCCGAAATTTGTACGTGTTGCGACGAGCTAGACCATATATTGATAGGGACACTGCTATTGTCTTATATCACACAATGATTCAATCGTATTTTGATTACTGTCATGTCGTTTGGCTTTGTCCTTCTTCCCATCATTTACTTACATTGCAAATATTACAAAATAGGGCCTTGAGAATAGTTTTGAATGTAGATTGTAGATATAGCAGAAAAGATATATATAATAATGTAAAAATTGATTGCATTAGCAATAAGATCAAAAAGGACTTATTAATTTTAATTTTTAAACGGATCCATAACCTGGCACCACCATCTCTATGTTCGAAAATAATTGTTAAGGAAAGTTTTTATTCTTTACGCAACCACAAATGTATTCTTCACTTAGGCACACCCCGGACAAACTTTCTTAAAAATAGCTCACTTTATATTGGTATCAAACTGTTTAATGAACTCCCAGAGTCAATCCACTTAGCAAATAACATAAATATTTTCACCAGATTGATTTCTCAATTATACATCAACCCTTTCTAGTTTTATAAATATTTTTTTTCCCCTTCCGTTTAACTTGCATTTGTATTTTATTTGTTGAACTTGTATTATATTTATTTTGTTTAAATTTGTATTTGTATTTTTTTTCTTTCTTTCTTTACATTTACTTATTTTATATTATGTATTTTGTTATTGTTTAACTTTTGTGTTTGATCTGTTTATTCATATGTATTTTAATGTACCATGTACGGAAATGCTGAAAAACAGCTATGCTAAGCTGAAAGCATGTTTTTTAATCACCGTATTTAAATAAATAAACAAACAAACAAACATCAGAGACTGAAGTTTTCAGTCTAATTCAGGGTAGGGTAATTTTGATTGATCTTTGTCGTTCTGGTGTCGGTCTTGTTGGTGAAAGTGGAGTATAAAGTGTATCTTTCATGTAATTGTTTTTTCTCACTCTTGGTTCAAAACACATCATGGAGGGGAGTTTAGCGGCGTAGTACAATGCAGGGGTAGAGGATTCATTAGACATTAATCCATATTTGGCACTTTTCACCCTTGTGGAAATTAAAATTACAATTCTCGCTATTGCCAATACCTCCAAATGTAAAACCTGGATGTAAGTACCATGCCACCTTTTCAAATGCACTCTGGAATAGCTTAGTCGTTTCCGGTCTATGTTATGCGGCTGTACTGTGTAGTCCGGTTCGGCAGGCGCGAGGGTGTGGCAGACGGTAGTCACTGTGCCTGCTGTCAATATATCATTGCAATAGTTGGATGGTAGTACCTTTCACTTTGGCTTTTTTCATAATATATCGTAAGCAATTATTTATTTTTTACACACTGAGTTGTCAGTTGGAATATGGTGCGATACTGTGAATGTGCTGTGTGCTGGTCGCACACACACACAAAAAAAAAACCTTCAGAGATATCCCCGGGTGAGAGATGTGACTTGAGTAAAATTACCAACAAATCCTACACAGCATGCGACCTGGAAAAAGTTGCTCCGAAGGCAAGACGAGTTTGAATTCACTGCACGATCGAAATGGCTTTCAGATACGTATATTGCGCATGCATAATACCTGTACCACACGCTTGCCGCATGCATGCACCATACAGCGGAAGTCCCAAAAGTGGCTCGAAATTACATCAAAGAGGCCCACATCTCGGCATTTGAGGGTATAGGCAGGAAGAACAGCTGATGCTGATGGAGCTAATTCATCGGGTAAACAAAATTATTATTTTATTATCAACATAAACCATTACCCTTTTCATTTTTTCTTCTGCATTTCCATTTACACTTTCTCGATGGGTTCCAACGATGAATATTGGTGGAGATTTCTGGGCGGTTTTAGACGTGTTCTTATTCCCGACCGAAGAGGGCACTACAGCATGGGCGTAGATGGAACACAACCAGAAATTGATGAATTCTAGACATGTCAGTTCTGATGTGGCACCTCCTTTAGCCTGTGTTTTCATTGTAAAGAAGAATGTATGATAAGGCCAATGATAAAAACACACAGAATCACCATACTTTGTAATCATTCTAAAAGGGTAATGCATACACACCCCCAGGGGCGTAAATCCGTACCGAGGAGTAGGGGGGATGATCGGAGCTTAAGAGGAGTTTCGCATTTAAATATCGACTTTACTTAGGATTAGGGCACAGATTTCATAATCCTTTAGAAACTATACTGTCTCTACCTTTTCTTCTATTCAGGGCCGTAGCCAGAGTTTGATGTTTGGGGGGCACATACATGTAATTGATAGACGTCCTGGGGGAGGGGTCTACACAAAGTTCAATCGATCTTGGATTTTTTTTTTTTTTTTTTTTTTTTTTTTTTGGGGGGGGGGGGGGCCTGCTTCTATTTCTCTTTCCTCTTTGCACCCCCTCCTAGTACCGCGTCCTGGGCGCGTGCCCCTCTTCACCCCGCTTATATATGCAACTGATCTAAAGTTTGATTTGATTTGATTTGATTTGATTTGATTTGAAATTGATTTATCTATTTATGTTTGATTTGCTTTTTCTTTTGTAGTAGTAGTCAGGGGCGTCGCTGGACCTTTTTCAGTGGGGGGTGTAGAGGCCAACGATTACCGACAAAACTACCCACCAATTACCGACAAAATTAAATGTCCCAATATCTACAAATTTAACACTGTAAACCCGGGGCCGACTGAAGGCTAAATTGTTTTTCCTATGGACTATCTATAGTACTTGCGTATGCGCAAATGGTCATTTTCCTCGACGACATAAATATACGAATTATTTCGTCAACTTAGTCACCATCATACCTATATTTTTTAATGCAGGCGCGGAGCTGGGATCTTATTTTAAGTAGGGGCGGTAGTGAGCAAGCGAATCACTTAAAGAGCGCTTGCACGTTCATTGGGGAGGGTGTGGTGATATGCCTCCCGCGCGAAGCTTAGAAGCTTAGACGTTTCCTTAAATTATTAGAAAGAGAAGACGATTTATTGTACCGTTGTCAACTGTTAATCCTTGTCTGAATGAAGTTCCCCCCCCCTCCCGCGCAAAGCGCAAAAGCTTTGACGTTTCATTAAATTATCATGAAGAGAAGACGATTTGCTGTACCTTTCTCGACTGTTAATCCTTGTATGAATTCAGTCTCTCCACCTCCCGCGCAAAGCGCGGAAGCTTTGACGTTTCATTAAATTATGAGATAAAGTAGAAGATTTGTTGAACCGCGTGCTCGACTGTTAATCCTTGTCTGAATTCAGTTTCTCCCCCTCCCGCGCAAAGCGCGGAAGCTTTGATTTTAATTAAATTATGAGAAAAAACAGACGGTTCGGTGTACTGTTCTCGACTCTTAATAAGCACTAATTGTCTGAATTCAGTTTTCCCCTTTAGCGCGAAGTGCGGAAGCTTTGACGTTTCCTTAAAATTTAGAGAAAGCAGACGATTCGTTGTACCATTTTCGACTCTTACTCCTCGTCTGAATTCAGTTTCCCCCTTCCCGCGCGAAAAGCTTAGACGTTTGATTTTAATATTATAGAAAGAAGATTCGTAGCACCGTTTTTGACTCTTTATCTGAATTCAGTCTCCCCCTCTCGCGCGAAACGCAGAAGCTTTGACGTTTCCTTAAATTATTAGAGAAAGTAGACGATTTATTGCACCGTTTTTTACTCTTAATTAGCCCTATTTTTCTGAATTAAATTTCCCCCTCTCGCGCAAAGCGCGGAAGCTTAGAAGTTTCTTTAAATTATTAGAGAAAGAAGACGATATATTGTACATTTTTCGACTCTTAATAAGCCCTATTTATTTGAATTCAATTTCCCCCACTTAATCCTTGTCTGAATTCAGTTTCCCCCCCCCCCTCTCGCGCGAAGCGCGGAAGCTTAGAAGTTTCTTTAAATTATTAGAGAAAGAAGACGATATATTGTACATTTTTTAACTCTTAATAAGCCCTATTTATTTGAATTCAATTTCCCCCTATCGCGCAAAGCGCGGAAGCTTCGACATTTCCTAAAATTATGAGAGAAAGCAAACGATTCGTTGTACTGTTCTCGACTCTTAATCCTTGTCTGAATTCAGTTTATCCCCTCTCACGCGAAGCGCGGAAGCTTACGTCTGGGCTATAATAATACCTTGCAAAATAACGAAAATTATTCTGAAGTTTATGAAGTGCTTGCTCGCGCTCGTCGCGCAACTACTCTTAATGATTGTGACATACTGTATACGTGTAGGCTATACAGATATACATACATAAAAAAATAACTAATTTCTCATGCATTATGCTGAAATTGAAACAATCACATTTTTTTCTTCTTCTTCTTCTTCCTTTTTTTTCTCTCTTTTTTTTGTAATCTCAGGGGGGATATTTGTACAGGCCATCCCCCCATCCCCCCGGGATTTACGCCCCTGCACACCCCACTCCTTACATCTGCCATAATTTCCTTTCTCTTTTTGTTGTTGAATGACTTCTTGATTTATTTATCTTCATAATTTTCCAATATTACAAACCGATTACAGCATGATTATCAAATCGTATGATTAATACATTATCACAATTATGTAATTACATTGTGATATTACCATAACATAATCATGACCAAGGATTCCAACATAAACAAAGCTTGAAGCGTGGCAATGCTTTTTAAAACTTCATAACTACTGTATACATTTAGGGAAAATACTTTTTTGCTATACTAACAGACATATAATCATTAAAGGATGGGGTAAATGAGATGAATGAGAAGATGACAGAAGGAGTTGGTAAATTATTCATCAAGAGAAATAGCAGTACTCATTGATATTCAATTGGTAAAAAATTACCAGCTATTATGATTGGATTTTTCCCCCTCAAAAGTTGATCACGAAATGCCCACATGTGGAAGCCATTGACAAAGATGACGTTGTAGGACTACGTGTATTTTCGAACAGAGATGGACTTTTCAAAGAGATAGAAATTTCAACTATTTAATATCACACCCTGCTCTCAAACAAAAAATACGGTTAATATATCACTGATTTAATTATACCAAAAATGTACACATGTATTAATCCCGAAGGAAGCCGGTAGTTGAATCTATATTTTAAAATAGTCAAAATTAAGAAGAGCTTTCATAATATCTATACTTTAAAAATAAATTTTACATGAGTAACGAATGATGAAAATATGTAAAACTTTACATATTTAAATTTGGCAAATAACTACTGTATAATAAATGAAATTTAAAACAATACCATCTCATAATTTTCGTCTCTGGATTCAGGGGGAACGACAGAATCCAAACTTCTACTGAGATCAAAGACAATCACATAAATGGCTCGCCACGTCAGAAACACCTACAAGAGAAGGGAATAAATAACAATAATAATAAGAATTTAATAACTACCATGCTGTGTTGTTTATATATGCTCTATTATTTATATACAAAATAAGGGACATCAGGCACTGTTTATATACGATTAACAACTAGATCATTTATACCCTTTGTAATTTTGATGTTTTTTGTGTTGTTCGTAACTCATGAATGCAAGGTGGATTGGTTGAATTAGGGCCTTCGTTGAATACTTTTAGATGTAAGGTTCAATATGTCACATTTTCATACTTAAACAATAAGATAAGATAACTTGATAAGGGTATGAATAATTTAGTTGTTAACTTTATTAATAAAGAGAGTATAGTTCATCAGTAAGGGCAAGAGGTCTCATATAGAGTTATAGAGTTGTTGCAGTTGACAGGACTTTTCTTCACTTTATTAAATATTAAGAAGCCAGCTTTTTAACCCTATTTTAGCCGGGGGTGGGGTCAATTTGACCCCCCTGTAGTAATTTAGCAACTACTCCGGAACTGGGGCAGATATAAAGTTTTCCTTTCATGACTTTTTTTTTGAAGTCTTGCTCAACTTTTGGTACTAAATCTTCAAAGATCGGACCAAGCATTACAAGGTCACATGACCAATAAGGGTCAAAGGTCATCCCAAAATAGTGACTTTTCCATACATATGTGTGTAATGGAACGGACATGTTATGAAACTTGTGAAATACAATCAATTTTCCCCATATAATTGTAAATTGTCCTTGTCTTTATGGTTGTCATATCTAATATCATTGTCAAAATAATACAAAACATAAAAAATGTAAACAATATAATACAAAAAGAAAAAAAAAAAAAAAGGAATACATAAGAAATTCAAAAACGATCCCAAAATACTATTTATACTTGATAATAACGCTCATAATTAATTAAATGTGCTTCGTTAATTACACGAAAACAAAAGACTTGAATATTATCAGAAGTATAACATGACTTTTCTTACTTTGCCCATGGAGCCTAAAGATTTGTTTGGCTTACAGCAAAAACATCAAGTTTATACTATGTTTTTTTTTGCATACACATCAGTGTGTATCTGATAATGTATGCAAATTTATGCATGCTCATGTAAATATGTTACCATATGTACCATAATAAACAATGTAAGTACCTAAATCTCAAACTTATCAATGTCTGTGATTCATTTTGTGTCAATATAATACTTTTTAAAAACCTGGTCTGAAAACCCGGTTAAAACAGGGTTAAACTAATGTGAAGTCTGTTCTCGTAGAGTGGAATATCAAATAAATAAAAGAAGCAATAATTTAGACCCTTGGCATGACTTTGAATCTACAACTGGACCACACATTAATGCACCTGTATAAAAACGTATGTTAATACCAATATGTAGGCCAACAACTGTGCATATTAAAAGTACATACATCCATGGGCCCTGAACTGAAGCTTTATATTGAGAAAATGGAATAATGGTCTTCATTTCTAATTTCTTTGAGAATGAGATATCAACACTGAACATGTACAGAAAAAAAATCACAGGAGAAATATAAAATAATTAGAACATGAATGCCACGATGGATATATGCCGGCGATACACACAACATCTCGCCGACACCACAACACCGCCTACGTCGGTAACATACAAAGCGTCTCGGCGATACCACACCCCACTCATGGATTTGAAGCACCCCCAAGTCCGCAACCCGGAGACTCCAGCCCAGACGGACAAGCAGACCATCCAAGTCCACACCCCGGTGACACGGTCATGTATAGTACCCCACGTCCGCACCCTGGTGACTTAAGCTCACACACACCTGCTATTCCCCACTCCTGACGACGGATAGTCAACCTGTTCGAAACGTCGAGCCACTCCCGTTACCCATCCCCTCCAATCGGCGCTATAGTTCTCCTTAGAAATATAAGCTAAGAAATATAACCAACAGTCTTTTTCAAGACTACACCAACAGTCTTTTTCAAGACTACACCAACAGTCCTTTTCAGGACTACACATCCTCAAGAAAGATTAACGGTACCGAGAGTTCAGGACTCCTCAATCCTCCCTCTCTCTCACACGGTGCTACCGCAAGCCTACTGTATATGTAGTCAATAGTCAATAACATTTATTCCATTTCTTTAAATACTAGAATCTAAAAATACTTTACAAATTTGCTTTCATGGCACTACGGTAGAATTTAAAAGGAATCTAATCTTCATAAAATGTTCTTTTACCTGATGGGTTGTGTAGTATATGTCGTGTCCGGCAAAGTCCCATATACTCAGTGAGACTCCTTCTCCTCTACCGCTATGAGTACTGTATGTTCCTTTCTCCTGAGGAATGAACAAAATTAATACACATCTACACTGTTGGTCATAATGGTGGAATAATTATTTTTACCCCAATTTATTGAATGATTTTGACAATGATTTATTCCTAATAGATATAAATAATAGTATACATTCTCAGATTTTATTAAATGACAATTGGGGAGTGTTTGTTTTGCGTGACTGCTAAAGCAAGTGTGTGCTACTATGCTAATCAACTAGAGGACCTACGTCCTTAAGTCATCACTAACAGTAATGGGGATTAATACCTCACAAAAGGGCACTAATATAGCACATCGACACGGTTTTGATCAAGGGGGCTCACACTAACGAGGCCATTGCTTAGCCAATAAATCATGCCTGTACGCAGCGGGCACCAGGGTACGTCGATGCCCCCACAAAAACAAAAAAACAAAGAAAATGCAATACATTTTCAACAATTCATTGCATTTTGCCCCGACCCCCAACAAGAAAAAATCCTCAGTAGGGCCATGCATTATGGTTCAAGGCACGCCCACATAGAATATTTTTTTAGACTGGAAGAAACTTTACACTATTCCATTAAAAAGTTGCCTTTCTACGAAACTTCGTTATTTTCGGTTCAATTCATTTAAGACTTCTAAAGCTCTATTCTAAACAATGAAGTGCTTTTGATTAATTTTTGATTTTTTTTGGTTACCCAGATGGTATGCAATCTATCTTTAATTTTGTCATTTTATATGCAAAACAATATATATTCTCTGCGAAATGTAAAAGGGAACGGCTATCTTTGAATTCTTTTGAGAAGATGCTTAAACGTTTTCATGAAGTTGAGCGGGTTTTTCTATCAAACGCAATACATTTATTGTATTACTAGATAAATAGAGATATGTGCAACTGATGTAACAATGTTTGTTTTACCGATATGTCACAACGTGTACTTTGTTCAAATCTATTGTTTTGTTCTTGCTCAAGAATGATTGACAAACATTTTTCTTTGAAAACAAAAAGCAGAAAGTATATTCACTCTAGTGCATCAAACAAGAATGTTTGAAGTCCAACATGTCTCTGAAGGAGCAGCGAGCCTTAAAAAAACGTTTTTGTTTACTACAAAGTTTGTTTTCCATGTATACCTGTTCCAATAAAGGCAGCTTTTCTTTTTTCCCCTTGATAGATCTTTCTCACTCTCATGTGCCTCAGGATCTAACACAGATTTCTTATCCCACTCCTGACACCAAACAAGATTGAGATCAGCTGGTATACTTATATGTATGTTTTCTTGGATTTTGAAATACTGTTACTTTCCATCTCTCCATCTTTCTGGCTGTAATGGATTATCTGCAGTTATACACTCCTGTGGTCTGTGGAAACACACCATTATCCAATGATAACAATTAAATGTAACAGATTATCATATCCATTGCCAAAGGTGGATATATCTATGTATGCTGACAGTCACAGCTCTGTAGAAAAGCTTCTGTTAACATTAACGTTTAAGGTCATGTTACACACACTCATTCTCCAGAAAGTAATCTAGAAAACTGGTAAATTATGTTAGCTGTGCGAGAATAAGGTTCGTTGTGATTTTCAGGCAGTTTTAGGCAGATATGCTTTACCTTGAGACTCGGCGGTCTCGCCTGCATTACCCAATTCGATATGATGAAAAATTGAGGTTGGAACATTATTTATATGCAGGGTGGCCCATTAGCAGGCCCCAAAAAATGAAATCCTCTAAATATAATCACATTTTGAGTGAATATTGACTAAGAATCATCAGAAGAATTAGTTACTATTAAATGTATCACGATCGAAAACTTGAATGAAATATGAACAAATTAATTAAAAAAAATATTAATTCTCATATTAAGTTGTGAAAACATCATTCAAGTCTACTGGCCTTTGACCTTGTGACCTGGAATTTGTGTCATATGATTTGTGATACTTGATAACCCTATAGTCCAAGTTTCATTGACTAGGAACTTAAACTTTCAAAATTATATCAAAAATTCAAAAACTTAACCTTAGGTTAAGTTTTTGATGTTGACGCCGCCGCCGTCGCAGTCGCCGACGCCGCCACCGGAAAAGCGGCGCCTATGTCTCGCTTTTTACTACACAGGCGAGACAAAAATGGAAACCCATAGTGCAGTTTAAAGGGCCGCACTTATTTTCAATTGCCTTCATCCATTTTTGTTCTCATTAACGATTCTGACATAATGTACTATTATAAGATGGATGTTATTAATTTGTAAAACGCCTATGAATGTATTTGTGGTATATCCTTGTTGAAATGAAGAAGCAATATAAGTTATTAAAATAACAAAAAACATTAACGTTTAAGCCTTTAAGGTCATGTTACAGAACAATCATTTATCAGACAGTTATCTAGTGCACCTGTTAATTCTGTTAGCTGCACAAAAATATGATTCGTCGCGCTTTTGATGAAACAGACTCATTACATTCTGCTAAGGGTTACACTTACCGGTCATTCGTTAGTCTAGGTACAACATTTTGTTATTCCTTGGTCTCCTGTGGTAACACGCGGATAGATTATGCATGCAAGGATATACACCCTATAACAACATGTAACAAAGAAGTGAAAGATTCTAGGATAAAACAAAGGCATTGTAGGAAATCTTGTATACGTATTATCCCACATAAAGATACAAGGTTCAAAAATCAATTTTACCTTTAGGTGAACCTGTTCCTTAAGCATTTTCTCGACCAGACTTGCTATTTGATATGGCATATTGTCATTTTCCTCTTCTTCCTCTTCTTCCTCTTCTTCCTCTTCTTCCTCTTTTGCCTCTTCTCCCTCTTCCTCTTTGGGCGCTTGCACATTATCCAGGAAATATTCTTCTGTAATAAAGAAGAAACACATATATGTATTTGTAGGATATATATATATATATATATATACATTCATAATTATTTTACATCTGCCACTCTCCGCCCAGGTGTTAAATGGGTGCAAAGAAGGATGCGAATGTTAATGTGAATGGATTGGCATGTGTGCGTTTGTAAAATGGCGCCTCGTCAAAATACTCTCCACGGTAGTGGAGCGTGTGCGCTATCATTCTACCGCCTATATAAGGCCTGCAAATGTGACTAATTTTGTTATCATAATCATTATTATGAGAATATTTCATGTAATTGACATTAAATAAGTAAGAATTGATTGAAGTCTAAATTATCGCTAGGTTATAACAATTTTTTTGCGATATATACTCTAGAAGTAGTTTTAACAATTAAATACTTATTTGTTATCAACTTTCATTAAAACTTTATATCTTATGGACGATGAATTAATGATTGATCGAGTGTTAAGGAAACAAACAACTCAAACTAAGAATTATGACAAACAAAACAAAGAAATACACAAACCTGCTTCTACAGGATTCAGGCCTCTGTCAGGAGTAGTATCGCTGTGTGGTTCTAAACTTTCTTGATCCTGTACACAAAATAAAACAGTGTTAAAATTGTCGAGCAGCTTGCACTAAGCGTATCACAATTAGCAACTACGAAAGTGGTTGGTTGATGAGATGATGCCACTCTTTATTAGTTTAAACTGTCATTCTGGTCTGGTCTATAGTAATTTATTGTGTCATTGCATGACTAAGAACTTGACAATCAAGATTTAAACAGCTAATACATGTACCAGGGCTTATGAATACTTGAATGGCTAATACTAATGGTTAATGTTACCTTGTGTTGCAGTAATGAAATTGAAGTTCAAAACAGCATGATGATAAGAATCAGTTTTCTAAAAAATACATATAAATTAAATACTTTGTGGCTACTAAAATTTTGTATCAATATTTAATATCATGAAGGAAACGCATATGGAAATCAGGGACTCGACATACTGTAGAGCAGCGTTTTTTTTAACCTTTTCCTAGTCGCGGCACACTTTAAAAAAAAAAGTTTTGTAACGCCCTAATTCCAAAATATTACAGAAGATTCATTTATATATCTGGTATATCTCAAGTGCCAGATACACACTTACGGACACATTTGTTTCTAAGATTTGGGAGCGAGCGAGCAAAAACAATGACATTTTGAGAGTGGTAAAATGTTTTTTTGTAAACATAAAACACTAAATAAGATATGGTATTATATATTTGGTCACCTCGATGCACAAATATAAGGATATTCGGGCATCTTGTTGTTTAGAATCGTCCAGTTTCAAAATTTTCTGGGCAAGTGAAGCGAACAAGTGTGGTAAAAATGCAACTTCTATATAAAATTGTAAGATATATTGGGGCACCTCGCTGTCAAAAGACATATTTTAGCACCTCGTTGATTAATTATGCAGCTATTCAGCCACTTCATTGCCTAAAATCCTACTATTTCTAAATGTTGCGAGCGAGTGAAGCGAGTGAGGAAAAAGACTCTTAATTGTCTTCAAAACGTTATTTCTTCATGAAAATATATGGCTGTTCTTAATATTTTTTTCTCACAAAATTAATATTTATTTCAAAATTGATCCGAAAACAGATGTTCAATTAATGTTATTTCGCGGCACCCCAGGGTGCCACTGCATCCTAGTTGGAAACTAGATGGAACTTCGACTGCGCGCAGTCGAACATGATGCCTCCGTCATAGAGCAAGTTTACAAACCAAAACAGAAGAAATTTTTCAAATTCAAGTTTCATTGTAATCCATTAACAGGTTCTCAGAATATCGTGATTACAAGTAATTTCTCATATACATATATGACCCTTTGATCTTTGACCTCATGACCCAAGAATCTACTCAGTTCATTGGCTCTGCAAGATACATACATGATCTATATGTTTGGCAGGAATCCATCAATCTTTTCTAATGATAATGCGATCACAAGCTATTTTTGAATACATAATGAGCCGCATGACCTTTGACCTTGACCTCATGACCCCAAAATCTACTCAGTTCAACGGCTCTGCAAGTAACATACATGACCTAAGTTTGGCAGAAATCCATCAATCGGTTCTTGAGATAACGCGATCACGAGCTGTTTTTGCATACATAATGAGCCCTGTGACCTTTGACCTTTGACCTCGTGACCACAAAATCTAATCAGTTCATCGGCTAGCTCTGCAAGATACATACACGACCAAAGTTTGCAGGAATCCATCAATCGGTTCTTGAGATAACGCGACCACGAGCTGTTTTTGCATACATAATAAGCCCTGTTACCTTTGACCTCGTGACCACAAAATCTAATCAGTTCATCGACTCTGCAAGTTACATACATGACCAAAGTTTGGCAGGAATCCATCAATCGGTTCTTGAGATAACGCGATCACGAGAACGGGACGTACGGACGGATGGACGTACGTACGGACAGACGGACGGACAACCCGAAAACATAATGCCTCCGGCTACTTCGTAACGGAGGCATAAGAACAGCCGCTGTAGTGCATTTTAGTCTAGAACATCCTATATAATTATCGATTTTTACTTACTACTCAGGTGAATTGCATTCAAATTCATTGAGCAAAATTTTGACATAATTTATTTGTTTGGAAGGTCATCATAAATTTACATTTTTTTCTTCTAGCAAAATTTAACTTCTCCACCATAATCACAACTCCCTACAATATTGACTTTTATAGAGATTTTTATTTGGATTAACAAGTACGCTAGCCAATTCATTCTCCCTTACTGGTTTACCTCAAATCAGAAAAAACAATAACTGTATGGAGTGATAATTACCTGTGATAGGGTCACGGTCAGCCTCTCTGCTATGTCATCCGCGGGAGTTTCTTTGTATACATCCTCTGTGAGAGTAAATCATCATATATTGTATTCTACTATTATTGTATCATTTATTACATTGTAATATTATATTGTATGACTCCAGAATGATAACAATTATATGATTTTCTTCAAGATGTATGGCTAAAAGGGACATGTTTGGGTGAATTCTAACAACTTGCTATCCATAGTAAGAATAAAAGCTCTGGAGGGAAAAGAAGCTTGTGAAAGAAATTGGCATTTCTTTTTAAATATCCGATTGTACAGGAAATGGGAAAGTTATTCCAAAATACTTTGCAGTCTATTGACTAATTCGCTAATTCGACATTTATAGAGCATTAAAAAAAAAAAGTCTTATATCTATATTACAACTGCAAGAACTATATTGTAGTCAGACAGTAATAATGATGATGATGATGTGACAATAATTATAATAATAATGACAATAAAAAACAATGAACATAAAATAAACAGAAACAGAAATGAAAATAATGACGTGAATACGACTGAACATGGCGGGCCTAGGTTTCATCGTGACAGGCTCTCATCCGGCAGTGTAGGTGTACCGTGTTCACGGGCAGGCACCTCGCGGTCATCATCCAGTGACTGACCGAAGCAAATGGAACCAAGCCTTATACAGAGTGGTAATGGAGTGTTAGTTCGAGAGGAATTCAGGGACCAGTGGATATAGGAGGAGAATGTTGAATAGTTGGCAGGAGAGAGGAATGTTCAGGGTAACAGAGCAGAACTTGGTAGACCAGGCTCGGGCAATTAGAACCAAATAGTAGCTCTCAGAAGTTAAATTAGAAGAAATTAAACAGAAAAGTAAATAGAGAGAAGAGAGATGGCATTATAGGAGGGAGAAATGACAGGGATGATCATGCTGCAGAAGAGGTAGCCCAAGGTAATCATGGCATTGATGTCGTACAGATGAGCCAAGATGACGTTGCGCCTCAGATGGAAAGGCAGGGCAATGGCGGTCTTGAAATCCACTTCAAAGATACCGAAGACCTGACGGAAAGGTAAAAGGACCTCAAGTAAAGTATTAGAAAGGTTCTAGAAGAAATTGAGAAGCACCAGCTAAGATCACTAAAGCAAGTTGACAGGAAGAGACTGCACGAGGCTGCTAAGGAGGTGAATGTAGTCCTGAGCCATATTGAGACAACTGATATCACCCAGACCAATATACGTGGTTGCCTCCTGTAACGTGGGTATTTCACAAGAGAACCCATTGTGGAAAAAAGAACCTTTTGGAAAAAGAGAATCCAAGAAAAGATAGACCAACTAAGAAGAGTATTAAGCAAGTTAGAGAGGAAGGAGAAGAACCCGGGTAACATAATAAAGGGGCTAGCTCATACCGAGAACAAGTACAATGTGAAAAGGAAGGCACGAAAGGTCGTCATTGAGTTGTTGAAGCAGTGGTTGACAGCGAAAGCTGCAAAACTGAGAAGATACAAGCACAAAATAAGCCAATACAGACAAAACCGTATGTTTGAGTATGAACAAAGGAGGTTGTATCAGAGGCTGGACGGAGTTACTGACAACAGCGACATAATGCCAGATCCCCAGGTTATAGCTGTGACTTCTGGAGTGTGGTATCTGGAACAATCCAACTGAACACAACCAAGAGGCAGAATGGCCAGCTGATGTTGAAGAAAGGTTAACGGATGAGACGTGACAGGAGAATGTGGTCATTACTGTGGAAGATGTTCAAAACCAAATAAGGAAGGTAGCTAACTGTTAAGGACATAAGCCAGATAGAGTTCAAGGTTTCTGGCTGAAGTACTTCCCCAATCTTCAAAGACGAATTGTACAGCAGCCCAACAACATACTTGAAACAGGTAGTGTGCCTGAGTGGATGAACCATGGAAGAACAATATTGTGTGTGAAGAAACCCTCCATAGGAAACGCTGTGGATAACTTGAAGCCTATAACATGCATTTCACGTATGTGGAAACTGTTGATTGGAATGTTAGCCGAAAAGATATATGAACACCTTGACTCAGCACGGCTCCTACCTAAGGAGCAGAAAGGCTCCCGAGGTACAAAGGACTAACTCCTTATCGACAAAATAGTGTTGCGGAACTGCAAAAGAAGAAAAATTGGCAATGGCCTGGATGGACTACAGCAAGGCGTATGCTATGGTGACACATCCTGGATTCTTAAGACACTTATATTGGTAGGAGTAGCTCTTAACATTCAGCGCCTCATCCAGGAGAGAGTGCTGAACTGAAAATGAAGCTGACATTTAACAGATGTTCTCTAGGAGAGATTAGAATTCGGCGAGGTTTTTCCAGGGGGACAGCTTGTCACCACTGCCTTTTTTCATCTGCTGGATACCTTTGCTGATTATCCTACGAAGATCCAAATGACAATATCGCTTAGGCAATAAGTCTGAGACTATCAATTAATTGATGTTCATGGATAACCTAAAGCTCTACGGGAAAGATAAAGGAGAGGTGGTTTCACTAGTGAACACAGTCCATGTGTTCAGTGATGACATTGGAATGGAGTTTGGACTCAAGAAGTGTGGTTTCTCATCCTAAAGAGAGGGAAGGTTGAGAAGAATGAGATAATCACCTTGCCTGATGGATGCAAGAAGATGGCTACAAGTATGAGACCTAATACATGGACCTATCAAGGAAGTCTTAAGAATTGGTAGGCTAAGCTGCTACATGTTCAGTTGATGCGCCATACATAGCAGGACAAGGATGACAGGTCATGGGACTGGATGAAGGAGGGAGACCTGAAGAAAGAAACAGAAGGTCTTATCACTGCAGCTTAAGATCAGGCACTGTGGACAAATGCATTTAAGGCGAAAGTTGAGATACACGATGTGTCCCCACTCGCAGAATTTGTGGAACAAAGGAAGAGGTAGTGGGTTACCTGATCAGTAAATGCAGTAAAATGTCGCAAGTTGAGTACCTCAAACGACACAACAATGAAGCCAGAATCAAATAGTGGATCGTTTTCAACAATGGACTTGAAGCAACAGACAAGTATGATCATAAGCCGGACAAGGTCGTAGCACATGCTGACGTGAAATTGCTCTAGGATTTTAACATCCAGATAGATCCAGAGATCTAGGCCCGTAGACCAGATATAGTAGTGGTGGACAGAAAAGAGAGCCAATGCATCGTAACCAATCGACCACGACACCTCTACATAATAATGATAATTACAATGATAATAATAACAATAATATTAAGAAGAAGAACGATAAGAATAAAAGACATTTATAAAGTGTAGACACTATGTGCTTTAAAATTGTAATCTAAAGTTAAGTGAAAATATATGATTTAGTTTTGATTTAAAGTGTTTTTCTGTCCCCATTTGTCACAGTTTGGAAAAATCAAAATGTACTATTGCAGAGAACGCGGAAGTTAATGTGGTCGAATTGGCCAGTGTGCATTTATGAAATGTCGCCTGGCCAGAATACTCCTCAGGGAGTGAAGCATGTGCATTATTATTATTCTATTTATAGGTCTACAAATGTGGCTATTTTTATCATTATCATTAGTATTATGAGAATATTTCATGTAACAGACATTTAAAAAGTCAGAATTGATAGCAGTTTAATTGTGCACTGAGTTATGACAAAATATATGTGATAACACTTTAAAAGGAGCTTTAACAAGTAAATAATTATTTGTCATTAACTTTTTTTTGTACTTCATATCTTATGGACGATGATAAAAGGATTGACTTAGAAAAAAGAACAAACAAACAACACAAACAAATTAAAGCTAACAATCAATAAAAAAAAATATACACAAACCTGGTTCTTCAGGATTCAAGCCTCTGCTGTATGGTTCAAAACTTTCTTGATCCTGTACTCAAAATAAATCAGTATCAAGATTGTCATTTTGCAGCTTGCACTAGCCGTATCACAATTAGCAACTAGAACTACATTTGTTAAGTGGTTGGTGAGACGATCCCACTATTTATTCATTTACTTTGCAATGTATTGTTTAATTGCATGATTGACTAAGTACTTAAGACTAGATGCAGATAAACAGCTAACACATGTGCTAGAGTCTGTGAATAGTTCATACAATTATCATTCTTCACTTTAATACTACTCAGGTATATTGCTATCAAATTCATTGAGCACAATTGTCGACATTATTTATTCATTTGGACGATCATTGAATATTTACATTTTTTTTCTTCTGGCAGAAATTCACCTCTCCATCATAATCACAACCCACTACTACATTTACTTTTATAGAGATTTTTATTTGGATTAAAAAGTACGATAGCCAATTCATTCTCCCTTACTGGCTTACCTCAAATCAGAAAAAACAATACCTGTATAGAGATGATAATTACCTGTGGTGGGGTCACGGTCAGGCTCTTTGCTATTTTATCCGCTACAGCTTTAATGTATTCATCCTCTGTGAAAGTAAATTATCATATATCGTATTCTACTATAATCGTATAATTTATTACATTGTAATATTATATTGTATGACTCCAAATTGATTAAAATTATATGATTTTAATGGACAATTTGATGTGCAATCCTGCCTTTACGGATAGTAAGTTAAAATTACCAGATCGCTAGAAATATGATGTGATGTGAGGCAACTCCTTCAGTTGTTCTAATACACATCTGGACTAAAATATGACTTTTTTTCGAAACTTATGGCTGAATAGGATATGTTTTTGGTGACTTCTTACAACATACTATCCATAATAAGAATAACAAGACAAATGCGTCGTCTCCTATTACCTCCACCCTAAATTCAGTATACAAAATGGATGGATTTGGGACATATCAAAATGTAGACAAAATGCCAATCTCTTGCGGTTCTTGAGATATCGCAATAGCAGGCAAAAACCTGTAATTTCAGAAATGGACCCGTGACATTTGACTTCTTAATCTGAAATCTGATCAGATTGTCTTCCTATGGTAATACATATTATCACCAAGTTTGAGCCTGATATCTCTAGTGGTTCTAGAAATTTTGCAATAACAAGGCTAATAGCTGGAACTTTGTAAGTTGACCTTTGTGACCTTTAACCTTTGACCTAGTTACTCCCACATTTAATCAGATTGTCTTCATATGGTGATACATGTTAAAAACAAGTTGAGCCTGATATCCCTAGTGGTTCTAGGAATTTTGCAATAACAAGGCTAATAGCTGGAATTCACAAGTTGACCTCTGTAACCTTTGACCTTTGACCTAGTTACTCAAAAAATCTAATGAGATCGTCTTCCTTTGGTGATACATACTTTCCCTAAGTTTGAGCCTCATATCTCTATTGATTCGTGAGATATGGCAATAACAAGGCCAATACCTGGAATTTCATGTTGTTGTTGTTCTTTGGTATTATCGGCGTTTCATTCTTTTTTAGAATATTTACGCCTTTCACTTTATTTCTTTTTTTTCTTCTATTTGTTGGTACTATTTGTAAATTCATACTCTTCTCTTTTTTTTGGATAATATAATCTCAGATCTACTGGTCCATGAAAACCCCTCACCGCAATTGGCACCTTCCTGCCAGACCGGCGCGGTACATTGCGCAATCTTCTCGGCCATCATTGGCCTAGGCAACTCTGGTGCCGGTGAGAGGATTCTGGGGTAGATCTCCAGAGTCTCTTGTTTGGGGTTTACCGTCCTCAATCCGTCTTTACTCTTTCTTACCTGTTCTCTTCTAGTATTTTTCCATTTTGTAAAACCTTATTTTTCCTATCAAAGTAGGTATAAACATCTTAGGGCATTAGGTTGTCGTGCGATATGTGCAAAAAAAAAAAAAACTATTAGGAACACTTAAAACGTCTCGTTCTACGAACGAAGCGGATCAGTGCTCTCTGGGTCGCACTTTCTGTTGATTTTAGGAGTTTCATTATTTCGATTGGGCTCGTTATATCACTTTCCATTATCAGCATTGCTCTTTCTATTGTATATTTTGGACATTCCATCAGATAGTGTGTTATTGTTTCAGGGGTGTTACAGTATTTACAATTTGTGTTGGCCTGGCCAGGTTGGTTTTTTGGGGATACCCATACTTTTGAGGGGTCTGCGTTTAGTCCTATGTTGCAAAGTCTGAGCCTGCGAATTGTGACTTCGCAGTCTCTAAAAAGGGTGCTCTCAAAGTTATGTTGAATTGTTGGTTTGAAAGGTCTTACGTTTGTTTTATTGTAATTTTGCCATTTTTCTTCCCAACTCTTGTATAGTTCTATTTTAATACTGCTTTCATTTCAGACAAGCATAACTTGTTATTTATTTGTATCTCTTCAGTTAGGGCTCGTTTTGCGAGAAGGTCCGCTATTTCGTTTCCCTGTATTCCACAGTGAGAGGGGATCCATTCTAGATGGACTTGAATGCCTCTGTATGCCAGTCTTGTGTATATATATACTTGATGCCGTTTATGAAGTTATCTGACTTATCTCCTTTCATTGATTGCATTGAGAGGAGTGCGCTGAGGGAGTCTGTGAATATCACAACCCCTGCGTGCAGGTTTAGTTGTTCAACCCATAGTAGGGCAATTGTTATTGCTGCTAACTCTGCTCGGTAGCTTGAGGTATGGTCTGTAAGACGTTTTGATTGCCTTATTGCAAAATGTGGGACAAAAAAGGAGGCAGCTGCTGTGCCTGATGGGGATTTTGAGCAATCCGTATATATATGAAGGCTGTTATTCCATTTTGATTGTATGAGTTCTATGCTTCTTAGTCTCATTTCACTCGGGTTATCATTTTTTCTTATTTATTCAGTTAGTTCAATGGATATTTGGGGAGTGTAGTTGTGCCAGGGGGGGGGGGGGGGATAGGAAGTGGTATTACTTTTTCCGTGATTGACTATTATTTTTTCATTTTTTATTCTCAATCCAAAAGGTTGTCTCACTTTTTTTATTCTTTAGCTTTTCAAATTGCCAACATGGTTGGATGTTTGGTTTTAATGGGTGGTTTGTCACACGGGAAAGATGGACGTGGTACTTTTCTGTCAGCATTTTCCTTCTGTGACATTAATATAGTCAAAGACATTTATAAACCACAGCCAAAGTGTTTCCCGTCCTCATTTGTCAGCAACAGATTGACAAATTCATAATGTCAGAATTAAAGATATACTTATGCAGAAAATTTCATTTTCTGTATTGTAAAGGTAAAATCTTTGTTAAAGTTCTACTAACCTTTTGTATCTTCATTCCCATGACCTTTCTTGTGAATGGACCACATTTTTTCGCCAGCCTTTGCAATCTCGATGCAAATGTCATATGCGTTTGTTGTTTCTACACCGTCCGTTATTTCCTCGTTTTGATCAAATCTGAAGCAAATAATTATATGATGATTATAATAATAGTAATAATTACAATGATAACTATAATAACAACGACAACAACAATAATAATAATAATAACAATAATACATTATATTTCTATAGCGCTTATTACAATGTTTCTAAGCGCAATACTTAGATAATAATACATTCAATATCATATTTACAAACTATAATTGATATATACTAATCACCCTACAATTAATTAAAAATATAAAAGCACAGAAACATCTAGTCAATACATATAATAATATTTATGATAATGATATATACTCTCTTATATTCCGAAGCACCAAAGTAAAATCGATACTCAAAGTATTCAAAACGTTCAATGAGCTGAATTTGGTAAATCAGACAAATCCGAGTACAATTTAAAAAATCTGATAAATAAATGATGAATTATAAATATTTCGAAGTTGAAATAACTTAATCTTTGTTAATCTCAAATTGGTGAATTAATGAAATAAATTGTGGAGATAAAGAAGTCTCCCATATATTGCGACATAAAAATGTCATGAATTTCATATCAATAACTTAAAAACTTCATGTTGAATTGAAAGATTTATAAAATAAGTCACTTTTGCACTAAAACTGTGAATATGTAGGATTTTGCTGTTTGAAGGAGTAAATTTATACCCTTATTGTGCATACCGAAATTAAATATTTTACTGAGGTATTCCTCAATGTGTTACCTTTTAACTGGGCAAGAAAAAAATTGAAAAAAGTAAATCACAAAAATTGAGTTTTGGCGCACTTTGGTCCCTCCCTGGCCCACTGTGCGCCGTCACAATTTACCGACATCATTATACCGACACCGTTCCGACACAATTTTATAGGCCAATGCAAAAATATGGATATTAAATCTTGCTATATTTTATTTTGTGTTCTTTTTCCCTTGTCTTTACCCTTTTCCCCCCTCTTTTCTTGCCTTTTTCTTCTCCATGTTGTTTTGTCCATTTTTCTTTTTTTCTTTTCTTTTCTTTTCTTTTCTTTTTTTTTTCTTTTCTTTTCCTTTCTTTCTTTCTTTTTCTTCGCTCCAAAAGGGAGCATTTGTCTTTTACGGCCGGGCACTCCTGATACGTCGGCGGAGCATTTGTCTTCAACGGGGTACTTTGGGGAGGAGCAATGTTGGAGCATTTGTATTTTTACGGGGCACTTTTGGGGCTGAGCAATTGTCGGTGGAGCAACTGTCGGCGGAGCAAATATAGGCGGAGCAATTGTCAGCGGAGCAACTGTTGGCGGAACATTTGACGTCGGAGCAAATATTGCGGAGCATTTGTCACCGGAGCAATCGTCGCCGGAGCATGTGTCGGGTCATCTATATAATACATATATATTTTCACTGATAACAAATGATTCTATTACCAACAAAAGATAAAATAAGAAAAAAAGGAAAAGTAATCACAAAGGGAATTATTTTCATTATCGATATGACAGAATAAACCAGATAAAAATCATCTTGTTACCTGATCATTTATCATGTTAAAAAAAAATGTCATGCATCCGAACAGAAAATGTAAAGTCAATAAACTTGTCTTTATTTGTTCTTCAAAGTGAAATGAAGAAATACATAATACATAGATAAAGGAATAATAAAGAGATTACCCTTGTCCTGTAAGATTTTTCTTTAGACTTGTCTTTCCAACACGTTCTTGTCCCACAAGCATCAGGCGCGTTCTGAATACTTTCTTCGTGCCAGCTTGAGCTGCTTCGGCATACGCTCGCTGTGCTCTCGGCCCCCGAGCGAGGATCTCTGGCGGTGCCGAAAGACCACCGTAGTAAATATCATCGCGCTTGCTCTCCGAATCATGTTTGAGAGATGTCAGTTGGTCGTCGTTTCCGTCATTTCTATCAGTATCATCTTTAATAATGAAGATCAAGAATAACACAAAAAATACGTCAGAAAAAACATAAATCTGGCCTGCCACAGAAAGCAAAACCATTCTTAACTATAAAAAAACATGAGAAAATTAGCAAGAACAATCACGGTAAAATCAACTCTAACTATACTTCTACGTATTCTAATTTACGGAATGAAGAACGCATTTTCACGATTTCATTTGTAATAAAATGCTCCTCCCATTATATGGTCTATCCATATGTCAAGTTTCAACTGTGTAGCATATTGATCATTATGGATCTATGAAAGATAGATTGAGACAATTAATATGACCATTGACCCTGCAAAATAACCAGTTGCACCTTTGACCCTAATTGACATATAATGAAGAATGCATTTTCACAATTTCATTTGTTTTCATGAAATGCTCTCCCCGTCATGTTTTACCTATATTGTGCCGCGCAGAGATTCAACCATTTTATTTTTGGCCATTACAAGAAGTGGGTTATTGGTGTAGACAAATGCTCATGTACCCTTTAAAGCCTATGTTATGTATGTTATTACCAGACAAAAAAAAGCCAGTCAGTCACTCAATAGTGTCTGACAGTAAAGTCTAGAAAGTAAACGGATTTCCTTGGATAATTTGAAATCTAGGGCACTGCTAACGTTTAAATTTCACAGATAGGACATACGTGACAATATCAATAATTCCTGCAAAGTTCTCCAGAATTTGGTGTTGGGTGCAAAATGGGACATGGTACCTTTAGAACTTCTGCGGGACATTTAAAATTCTATCGCATTCATTTTAGCCCGGCATCAAAAGTGCATGTACAAACTGAAGTTTGATTTGGACTCGTTGTCTTTGACCACAAATTTTGTCATAATCTTGACATCAAAATGAAAAATAAATGTCACTCCTTGTTTAGAGCATAACCTCAGCTACAACATTTTTAAGATTGGGAGAAATTTGTATACAGATAATCGATTCCCCGAGACCATAGAAATACTGGGATGATGTTCAGCGGGGGCTATAGCCTATCCTGATCCGGGTAGAGGGTACTCGTCAGCTGTAGTGAAAGCAAACCTTCTAGTGGAGTCCAGCCATGGTGAAAATTGGTCCTGCGGAAGGCAACGGGAACCCACCGCAGTATTATCCTCAGGATGACCCAATATATATTATATGATAGTTGTCAATTCAAATCAAGCCAAAGACGTTATCGGGACCCTGGACACTAGATGCCGGTGTGTCGCGTCCTGCAGGACCAGCAGTGAGGATGGTCAGGTCGTCATCCAACAAAGTCCTCACTTGCATGTTGGCACATGGAATACTAGAACAATAAGAGACGACAAGATAGAAACTATCAAACGTGAGATGCAACGTTATAACATGAACCTGCTTGCTCTGACTGAGATTAGATGGCTTGACAGTGGTGACTTAATGAGTGATGAATTCAAAGTGATATACTCTGAAGGGAAAGTAAGACAACGTGGTGTTGCTCTTTTGCTGGACAAGCAAACAGCAAAAAATGTATGTAGGATTAAGGCTGTAAGCGATAGACCGCTAGCAGTCAGAATAAAGGGATCACCAGTTGACATCGTTGTGTTGGTGGTGTACATGCCTCCAAGTGACTATGAGGACAAAGATGTGGAGGATATTTACGATATGATCGATGAGGAACTGGAAAAAGGAAATGACTACCGTATTCTTCTCGGTGACTGGAATGCTGTTGTCGGAAGCTCACACAAACACGATGATGCCGTTGATGAGTGGGGTCTCGGCAGGCAAAACCATAGGGGAAATATGCTAGTGCAGTTTTGCAAGAGGAGAAAACTGGTGGTTATCAACACTCTCTTTGAACAGCATCCTCGCTATACACGTCGCTATACATGGAAAGCACCTGGGGATACTGCACGCTATCAGATTGACTATATTCTTGTGAACCAGCGTTACAAAAATAGTGTGAAAAAGTCCCTGGCATATCCAGGCGCAGACTGTGACTCGGATCACAACTTGGTGATGATGACAGTGCAGCTGAACCTGAAGAAGATGCGAGGGAGCTCCAAAGTGCCGAGAATAGATAATGCAAAGCTGAAACAGAATGCATTAGTGTATGTATCTGGTGTCCAATCCCGGCTGTCCTCTAAAGAATTTCCAGAGGGTCCCTCAGTTGAAGATGAATGGGAAAATCTAAAAGGTGCCTTGCATGGTAGTGCTGAAGAAAACGTTGGGTTTCAATGCAAAAAATCTTGTTGCTCAGTCATTACGCACCCTCGCATAATATCCGTCAAAATGTACAAAGAAATATTGTAGAAAATCTGTATTCTGTTTTGATAATATAGTTTTGCTAATTAAGGAATGTAATTTTTTAATACAACAAAACTCCAAAAACATGTGAGGGGGTAGTCACTTCCGTCACCTTGCACCTCTCGGTCACTATAATGCTCCCTCGTCCCCCTCACTTCGTCCCTCCCGGTCATGAAAAGAAATCGCCGCCCCTGCATTGTACTGAGTAATTACCATTAGGTAGAAAGTGATTTGGCGTGGGGTCCAAGTGCATTACAGTTAGATGGACATTCAGTAGCTCGCGTTAGCTATAGGGCTTTTGCTAAATATAGGGGGAGGATCCCTCGAAAGCTCAGGGGTTTTAGGCATTTGTTACCGTCAGATGTGCATATAATATTGTGATGCTTTATTGTTTTGTGACACAACAAGACACTTATTGGTATCGTATGTATGGGACCCTTATCAATCTTATCAATCTAACCTCATAAATAAGATAGAGATGGTCCAAAGACGGGCAGCACGGTTTGTCGTCAATGACTACCGCCGAATTACAGGAGTGAATGACCATATGAATTCAGTGAACTGGCTCCCTCTTCAAGAGTGGAGGAAAGTTAGCAGACTCTCCATACCGGTACTCTATATAGCTATTCATCAAGAAGCGGCAGTCAATATCCCACCATACGTAAAACAGTCAACACGACCCATAAGAGGACTAAAGCATACCTTAACAGCTTCCTCCCTCACACACTCAAAGATTGGAACAACCTACCCTTCCCACCCAAAAACTCAAATACACACGTAGCCTTTAAAAATCAATTAAATAAAGACCTCTTAAAGCTGAACTAAAATGCACGACGTACGATAGACAGACCAGCTCTAGTCAATAGTGCTGATTTCTAGAGATGTCCGGATTCCATTCAGAAGATTGGGGTTCAGGGGGCGGAGCCCCGTGAAGCTCAGGGATTCGGGGCATTAAATTACAGTCAAATGGGTACCAGGGGTCAGCTTTAGGACCATAATTGGTAGTGTTCAGGGGGTAATTAAGCCAGTGGAAGCTCATGCAGTTGTTTTGTCGGGTATCCATGTTGCTTTAATTAGGTGTCCTTGGTACGTATAGGCCCGAGTAGGGGGCAGAACCCTTGGTATAGCTCGCTCAGGGATTTGAGACGTAGTATGATCAGATGAGCATGCATACATGCAAGGGTTGCTTTAGGGTACCGGTAGTTGCATGGTAGGGAATAGCTAAGAGCAGAGCCCTTGAAAGCTCAAGGGTTTAATGATTTAGACATTTAATTACGGTCAGGTTATTGCTATCAATTTCAATGATTGATGTAGTGTGTGAAATATAAATTTTGAGCCAAAAAGGTGCTTTATTGTAGATATTCCTCTGATTTTGGCCAGTATCTCGATATATTAACTTGACAAAAGTGATTAGACACTTAGTAGTGCAGAAAGATCAAAGGATTTCGAGCGCTGAGTGCAATTGATAAGTTCTTCTTCTGTACTCTGGGATGTTTCAGGAAATGTGGACATTGGCAGTTGCCCCCCCCCATCGCCCCCTCCCACCAAGGGCCCTAACGTGCCACTGGATGCTCTTCTGACCGTAATTAAATACATAAAACCCCTAAGCTTCCGGGGGCTCTGCACCCTGGACCTCACCAGGGGCCCTAAGACGGGCCCCTGAATGCTCATCTGACCATAATTAAATGCCTTAAGCCCCGAGCTTCATGGGAAACAGGACCCTGGACCCTACTTTAATTAGTGACCTGCCAGTGTCACAAATAAGGTATCTTAATATGCTTATCTGACCGTAATTTAATGCCTAAAACCCTTGCAGCTTCCGGGGGCTTCGCCCCTTGACCCTGTCGGGGCAAAGATCCTGGACCCCACTCCAATTTACGCTCCACTCGCCTGATCGTTGATACTCCACTTTGAAAAACATTCTGCCGGGCCTGCATGTAATATGTAAGAGTGGTGACGATGCAAATTTTTCTTCTGCCCCCCCCCAAACAAAAAAAAACATTTTGCTCATTTTGCCACTGCCCCTGAAATGTGAGCCCCCTGGAATTTTTGCCCCCTCCCCAATCCCAAACTGCTTCCGGTGCGCCTGGTGGGCGTGTCTGTCAGACGTCCCTAAAATACCCCAACCCCAATATTGAGCTAGATCAGCTGATAGGAGTGCAGGAAAGGGACGTTTAAACCTAAGTACAATATGCCTTTCACATTAGTCCCGCAAGGTTTCTCTCCACAATCTATATCTAGCATCAATAGGCGTCTGGCAGTCACTCCAACCATTTAAATCGTCTGGCAATGGCCATAAGTGTGTCTTTGGACTGTGGCGAGTATTTTCATATGGGTTCCATTTGGGTTTCCTTTCCAGCTGATGTAGCTCAATATTGGGGTTGGGGGTATTTTAGGGAAGTCTGACAGACACCCTCCACCAGGCGCGTTGGAAGCAGTTTGATATATGGAAAATAATCTTTTTTGATAAAATTCAATATTTCGAAAAAAATCACCCAAAATCATGTTTTTTACTTAAATTTGCGATGTTAATTAATCCTAATATCGTTGAAATAGGTATCAAAATGTAGATAATTTAATTTTCTTTCATATGACACCAACATCATGGTGGTTCAACGTTCCCTTAAAATATTATTTACAAAATGCTATTTTGTCATCAAAAGGCCGCTTTGTTTTGGAGGGGGCGTCGCCCTGGCCACATCCACCACTTAGAACATGCCAGGCGGTCAATTCGTTATATGGAGCTATGTGATCTTAACATCTGTGGACATGAAAATTGGTTTCCTTTCCAGCTAGGTTGACCCCCCCCCCCCTGGCTCCCTGTCTATTTGTGCAGGTATTTTCACCAAGTCTGGTGTCAGCGAATTATGACCTTCTGCACATGGAAACTGACGACCCACTCCCTTTAAACCCTTTTATTTGGACAGGCCTGAAATGTTTATACATTATCAGAAGAACCAACAACACTTTAGACTCTAATTTTGTTACTGTTATCTTGGAGCTACTGACCTGAGCTGTTGGTCAGACTGACCACTTCTGCTTGGGGAGCGAGGGCCACATAGTTGACCACCTCCGGTGGGCCGTTGATCTCCGGCTTCTCGTCACTGTAAACAAAAAGACAACCATTATATCATCTGATATCACATCCCCTTTGCATACGGGAACCTGGTGGTCCCTGTATTGAGCCTATGGGACTTTCACAATGCAGTAGTCAATGGGTTATTATCAATAGATCATAATGCATTGGTTGCCTGCAAGAGGGCTGTAAAGTGACCTTCTGGCTGACTGGATACAAATTATTGGTATACATGAAACACTGTATGGATTTTCAGGCTATTTTCATGAGGAAGATAATAATGAGAAGAATCAAATGCACAGAACTTATGTGAGCATAGTTTCACTAGACCCCCAAAACTATCTCTCACACATGTGTTTGCTGTGAGTAGGAGGGTGTGTCTTTATCTACTCATCCTATAGGCCACGCAAGGACAGTCTAAAACACTTTTTACAGAGACTTCTTACCATCGAATATTTGAGTTTTAGGGCGACGAACATTAGTTGATGACACAATGTGAGTAATACTTTAGTCACTCCAAAAAGAGCGATAACAGACTGACAACAGACCCCCCCCCCCAAAAAAAAAAAAACTACATATATCGTCGACCGGTTGGCAGAAGGTGTTAGCGCGCGAGCGACTCGAAAACTACCTTTAGAATTATTGGTATTTACAGATTTGTTTTATATTTAAACTGCTTTCCGTCCCGAAAATTGATTTGAAACTTAACCCTATGTTAGCTGGGGGGGGGGGGGGGGGGGTCAATTTGACCCCCCCCTCCCGTCGAAATTTCGCGACTACCTCGAAACCGCGGCAGATATAACATTTTCCTTTCATGACTTTTTTCTTTCGAGTCGTACGCATCTTTTAAAACTTTTTTTTCTTCTCGAAAATCAGACTTATACCGGTAGTTACAAAGTCACGTGACCTTTTGTCTTTGCGTATCAGCCCGAAAATCACTCATTTTTGTGTACAAAACGTATGGAAATGTCATTTTTCCTAAAAAGAGATAAAACATTGGTTATTTAGTCTTGTTTAAAGTTTAGGTGTTTGTTTTGGGGTCAAAATAGTTGAATTGTGGATATAAATGAAATAAAATAACAAAAACAATAAAATACATAAGTTAAAAAACAAAGAAATACATAATAAATTATCAAAACATGAGATAACATAAGGAATAACCTGGCTCTTCCATTTTTTTGTGTTGTATTATTATTCCAAATGGTCTAACCAATATATGTAATGAAAAAGAATGCATAAATATGAATAATGTATGATTTATGGGCAGAAATGTGAATTGTATGACCTTATTTGCATAAATTACCATAAATATGCAAATGAGTGAATTTTTCAAAAATTTGAAATTACAATATTATTCTTTACACTTTACTTGACATGTATGCAAATTTTCGAGGCGATCTTAGGGGGGGGGGGGGGTCAAATTGACCCCCCCCCCCTCCCACAGTAAAAACCTGGTCTGAAATAGCCCAGTTAAAATAGGGTTAAAAGACTAATATAAATGTTTTGGTAGAACAGGGCAACAAATTTTGTTTGGAAAATTAAGTCAGTTTTATAAAAGTTTGAGGCAATTTAGTGCTAACGCCCTTCATTTTTTACCTGAATTTCGGGCTAACGCCCATCTGCTAGCCAGGCGACGATATGCCTACGACCAACAATCAGTGGGTTTAGAGTCTAACTGGATCAATTTGACAGTGTGGCTGAGTTATAAGTATACCACAGATTAGGAAATACAAAAAGGAAATGTGGCGAAATCGAAAGAAATGTTTCCTTTTTTCTTCCCAAAAGAGGGCATCACATCATCACACATGGGAGTTTCTGGCTCGTACTTATTTATTTATTTATTTATTTAATTAGACTTCTTTAAAATACAGGGTAGTCCCTAGTAAAAACATATACATAACACGCAGGTATTAACTACTAGATATGTTAGGTACGTTAACACAGAGCACATTTTAGTTTGAAAAGACAACCTACATAAAATCCATAAAATCAAACAAAATTTAAAACACACTAAAACTAAATTCAAGTCAGACTTAAAAGTTTAAAGAAAAGTGTGGCTAAAAAGAAAACGGCAGATTAAAGTGGATTGCACCAAAAAGATAAATACAAAAAGTGAAGTCTACTCACATCTTTGAGCTCTCCTCATAGACAGGTAGGCGTTCTTGTGGTAGAGGTCTGGGGTTGGCCGCTATCTTGGCGTTACGGCGCCATCCCTTGGCCTGCTTCCGCTGCACTTCCTGCGTGGAGAGGATGACAACAATCCAGGACTGTCTCTCCTGAGAAGTGTTGGTGCAGAGCTCGTAGATCTGAGGACCAGCCGCCGATGAGGTATTGATAAGGAAGAAGGCTTTCTTATCTGGGGATAAGAGGAGAAGAGAGATGTGATTAGAGATGGAGAAAAAGATGCCCATCTAGGACTTCCGCTCCACATCCTGCGTGGATAGGATGACGTCCATCCAGGACTGTCTCTCCTGAGACGAGTTGGTGCAGAGCTCGTAGATCTGAGGACAGGCCGCTGATGAGGTACTGACAAGGAAGAAGGCTTTCTTATCTGGGGAGTGAGATGGAGAGTTCAAAATTGCATTACAAGTTAAGGCAGGGCACAGACAGAAGAGAGGACCTGTGTCTTATGGTCCATTGCATTATCACCCCAACAGACTCAAAGCTATTAGACAGAAAGATAGATAGAAGATAGACAGATAGATAGACAGAAAGATAGATAGATAGACAAGTAGATAGATAGAAGATAAACAGATAGATAGATAGAAGATAGACAGATAGACAGGTAGATTGAAAGATAGTCAGACAGATTGATTAATTGATAGAAGGATAGAAGGTTAGATAGGGACAGGAAATGATATCAAAAGATACTCACTTGTGGACACCGGTCTGCACAGGACTGTGCTGAGCTTGATAATAGGACTGTGGGTCTTCAATTCTTCCCTAGCTTGGTTTGTCGTAGAATGGAGCTTTAACACCAACTTCTCATCTTGCTTTGACAGCAGAACAATCAGCTCCTCTAGTAATAGCACTTGTACCTCTGTGTGAAAGCAAAGAAAGCAAAGAAACCAATGCAACGATTTAAATGTGAGCACTCCCACTTCTTACAAAAAGTCCTGAAGGATTCATATTACTAGCTTGAATAAAGGGAAAGACAAAACTTTTCAGCATACCATTGATTTTTCTTCTCGTATGTATTTCGTATAGATATTACGAAAACAAATCAATGGCCTTAAACATTCTTTGTCTGAATGATCTTGAAATCAAACATATTTACATAGATTGTGGTATCTGCAAGAGCAAAGATAAAATAAAGATAAAATGTGTATTACCGCCATTATTCCTGATATCATACAAACCTTTAAAGCGGGACTGCACTACTTGTAGCTACTTGCGCCCTTTATATAGCAAACAATGCATAAGCGGTACCCATTGGTCCCCCATGATCTCCTTTTTCTTATGTTAATTGAGAGCTGATTTGATGAGATAACCTCCTGTCAGTGACCATGCAGGGAGGTCTAATCCCTGCTGGCCAAACTAGTGCAGACAGGCTTTGAAAAAAATCACTTACTACCTACCTATACTTTTATTCCTATTGACTTTCCACGTCAGTACGCCATCATGGATCATCTTATGTAGTGTCAGGTTGATGTTCTTGTAATCCATGACGAGAGGATTGTTGGACTTGTCCAGTGGCGTTCTGTCCATCCTGGTGTTGTAGTCGATAAGACGCCACCGGTTCTCACATTCCTTGACTGCTTGGTTGACATAGGATAGGATCTCCTTGCTCTTCTCCAAAGCACGTCCAAGTCGCTCGTACTCGGGACTTTTGGCTTTGGAGAGAAGGAGAAACGGTGCAATTAAGAGACATTTGATGTATTTATGGTTTTATTTCATTGAATATAAAAAATAAGACAGAATCTCCCTGCTCTTCTCTGGGGCATGTTCAAATCACTCATACTCGGAACTTGGCTTTGGAGGACACACAAAACAATTGGTTGTAATTACATTTTTGCATGAATCTATTGTCGAAATTCATTGGTCAGTAATACATGTAGGATAGAATCTCCCTGCTCTTCTCCCAGGCACGTCCAAATCGCTCATACCAAGACATTTTGGCTAAGGAGAGAAAGAGGGATGGTTTAAGTATAAAGAGACAAATACATACAACACAAATTCTTGCAACGATGATGACAGGGAAGATTTTGATGAATTATCCTCCTCCTTTTCCTCCCCTCCTCCTCCTCCTCCTTCTTTTTTATTATTATCAAAATTAATATTATTATCATAATTATCATTATTAATGGAGTTATCATTTAGCTAGTCTGGGTACTTACCAGGTGTGTACTTGAGTAGATTCTCAATGAATAGAGGGTAATTTGTCACTCGTTGGTATCCTGTTGCTACAATGCCTGACAGTGATAGCCTTCTACATAGTGGGTTCCGTTCAGCTTCCTACAACAAATACAAAACATAAGAAACATATAAGAAAACTAGATGGATCTTCGAGTGCGTGCAGTCGAAAATGATGCCTCCACCATAGAGCGATTTTACAAACCAAAACAGAAGCAATTTTTGAAATTCAAGTTTGATTGAAATCCATTGAAGGGATAGTTGAGTTCTTGTTAAAGACCGCAAATGCCTTCAAAGTGCATGGTTATTGCTCCTATTCTTATATATGACATTTCTAGTGCCCTTTTAGAACCTAAAATTGCTATGAAGGTAATTTTAGCCCCCAAAATGTGTGAATTTAGATTGAGCATGATCATACCAATTCAGCTCCACTTTAATACAAATATGGTGACGGTTAATTAATTAAATAATTAATAATAACAAGACATGGGCCGGCTGGTTGTGCATATTATAACCAACACAAAAAAGCCAACAAAAAGCCGATATTGGCATTGGCTGGAATAAAACGTATAAGGCGCTATCTCGTTTTCAACAGCTGGTTCAAAATTACTGAATAATTGTGGGGCACCACAAATATTAAAAATGGTTATATTTATGGATATTTCAGCCGTCTCTGAACTGATTTTGATCAAACAAAGATGATTTTGTCATTTAAATGGTCTATTCTTTCAAATTTGACACTCAGTTTTCCATTATTTATTTTTTATTTTTTAAATGATATTTTATTTCCTTCCTCATAATTTCACATGACAAGAAATTCACCTAACAATAAATTATCAAAATAAGCAATATAAAACAAGATCTCACATTATCTCAGAAAAAAATGTTTAGTGTAGCGCCCTCTGCAACAAAAGTCAACTATCCCTTTAACAGGTTCTTAGAATATCGTGATTACAACCTTTTAAAAAAAACATGTTCTGGGTATATCTGTCGGTTTTAATGATAATGCGTTTACAAGCATATAGCTCCGTTTAGTCTCATCTCACAACGCCCCCTATCGTCAGAGTCAGCAGCCATACATGTTAACCTATGGAATTGTACCAAAATCGTTAACAATTTATTTTTTGTTTAAACGAAAAGCACATCCACCCCGACTTACGTTATCACTAGCTCTTTCATTGGAACCCTCATGTCCCATTGACTTTTGAAAGTTCACCCACCGTAATTTGATCAAAATAGATTGCAAGCTCGTCATTGCCTATAATACACATGTGAAACAAGTCGAACTTTGGACTCAGTTTGCCAAGCGATTTTAAGATTATAGGTCAAGCACACGAGGGATAAGAAGCATGAATTATCATAGCTCACTTCTGCTTGGTTCATTATGTCCATTTCATCCAACCCCCCACCCCCCCCCCCACCGTAATTTTGTCCATTTAGTAACAGCAAACATTTTGCCGAGGTAAGTAAAAACATGAATATTCATGAACGGTCAGACAATACAGCCTTTTAGTATGTAACGTATAGTGAATGGGAATGGGCGATGATCCATCCAGGAGGTAGAGGTCAGTGGTTTGTGCTGGCAATGTTCCAGCGAGCGAAAATGAGACAATCGGAGCAATATGCTATTTTTACATATATAATGAGCCCATGACTTTGACCTTTGACCTCATGACCCCAAACTCTAATCAGAACATTAGCTTTGCAATATACATACATGTCCTGAGTTTGATGGTAATCTGTCCATCGGTTCTAATGATAATGTGATCACAAGCTATTTTTGCATAAATAATGAGCCCCATGACCTCTGACCTTTGACCTTGAGACCCCAAAATATAATCAGTTCATTGGCTCTACAAGATACATACATTAACAAAGTTTGGCGGGAATCCATTAATCGGTTCTTGAGATAACGCAATCACGAGAATGGGACGGACGGAGGCATAAAAATAATAACATACCGATTATATATATATATTATATTAATAATGTATTATAAGAAGCCTATTAGCCAATCTTGATCCTCTCCCCACCCCCTCTCTCTCTCTCTCTCTCTCTCTCACTCACGCTCTCTCTAAATGTTGTTAAACCTGGTTGTGCATGTAGGTAAGGCAGGTTTTATAGTATCCCTGCAGCTTCCGAAACAGACTACCTACAATTTTCACGCAAAGACCGTTTGCCAATAAAGACCACTTTTCATGTCCATTGAGCGGTCTTCATAATTATACAGGTTTCATTGTACTCAAACTAATACAGATAGACCATTTGAAGAAAATGGAAATAATTATCTTATTTTTGCTTGATTGTTGTTTCAACCAAAGCTACTAGAGGTCTTTCCAGCACTTTGACTGCAAAATGCTCCTACCCATTTTTATTCGCTGCAAATTGCTACAATCACAGGAAATAGAGATTGGCAGCGGTATTTAATCCAATTTCTGTCACCTGTACAAAATTAAAGTAAGCGATTTTGAACTCACATCCATGAATCTTGATACAGATCCTTCCTTCTTGTCCTTCTCCTTCTCTTTCTCCTTCCTGATGAGCTGCTTGAGATGCTCCATGGCTATACTCTGGTTCTGACAGAACGATGCACACACTCTCTTCATCTTCTCTCCAGATTCCCCATCAAACTATACAGCAATGTCAGGAGAGATGGGGACAAATGAGGATATAACGGTTGAAAATAAACTTCTTGAAGTGATTCAAAAAGAAAGAGAGGTTGTTATTAAAATGAAAAGGATAAAATCTGGAAGAAAAAGAAATGATCTAAATGATTTAAATGATCACTAGCTAACATGTCAACCAATAAGGATTGGAAGCAACATAACGGATCATACCAACACCTGCAAATTGAAAACAGGGGATATAACAGACTCTGGTAAACCTAAAACTAAAAGTCAAAAATTAATACTTGAAAGTTCAGTGTTTGAAAAAAATTGGAAGTACAGGAGGGGGTCAAGATGCTGATACAAGTGAAATTCAGCAGAGAACCTTCAACAAAAAGAACGAATAGTTGACCCTTATCCTTTGTAGTAGTATCTGGCCGACTTCCTGAACAATATATGATGTTCTCCTTTCCCTTTTCAAGGGATTATTGAGAGAACCTTGATTTTCAATCATCTAATTGCCATTTGGGAAGATCTTGTACTACCACTGCCACATATGGAAACGTTGGCTCATCAGGATTGGTCTCATAAAATAACTTAACCACAAACTAACTCCCACACAGTGTTGAGTGCAGGGCTAGGGGTCACAGGCAACTGCACTGGCTTCATCGGGCAGGTAGTTTATGTGAATGGGTAAATTCTGACAAGAATATACAACCAATCAAAACAAGTTTAACACCAGAAGAAAGCTAATGATTAGTATATTCATTAGCCGCTCACCCCAAGGCCGCCTGTCAACAATGGAACGAGTGAGGGCTTGCGAGAGCGGCCAAAGTGCAATTGAAACTCGCTATTTTGCTCATCTCCAACGCAAATAAGAGACGACATTGTGCAGGATTACTATGGTTTTTTTGACAATAGTACAGAGAAAGCGCCATTTTTGTTTTAACTTACACTTTTTGAAAGGTTACCCAAGTGACTCCCAGGCACCCCAATGCTGAAAAGAAACGCACCTTTTAGAAAACTTCACTTTTTCATGCAAAATTGCTTATATGTTTTATGTACGCAAGTCAGATTGAGCAGATGATACAATATTCCCATATGTACCACTACCACTACCACTACCACTACCTCTACTACTACTACTACTACTACGACCCCTCCTCCTCAAATTATTATACTAATAATTATACTTCTTGTATTATTCCTTACCCTCTCTAAGAGAATTTGGCTGACTTCCTCAACTATATGTGACGTTCTCTTTTGCCTTGTCATGGCGTTATTGAGCGAACCGTGGATCTCGATCATCTCATCGATGTTTGGGAAGATGTAGTAAATGGTCTCTCTAGTCAGGCCGGCAATCTCTTGTTCTAACATGGGTAGGAAGAAGACTTTCCGTAGGACCTTCAGATTTCGAACGTGGGTCTCTTCAGTGTGGAACAGCTCTGTCAGGAGAACAAGAAGATATTTATACATTGAATCACTGTAACTGGAGATAAACAAGTCAATGCAAAGCGCAGCACCCCTTCGCAGAGTACAAATGGCCTATATAAGTTAGAACAAGTTACCTCCATTAGACTATATTATTACATTACTAGGCAAGGAAGATAACCACATTTTCGCATATATAATTAGGTATTTTCGCATATTTAATTAGCTATGACCTTTGATCTACATACTCCGAAATCGAAATTGGCCTGTATTTTGTTACCATGTACCTTCATATCAAATTTCTTAAAAATTCATCAAACATTACTAAGTGGCCAACATATACATGGAGAGTTTCGAAGAAGAAGCGTTGGACACATGTCCCCTCTCTTGCATGCCTCGTGTTTGGAAGAGATACGTAGATGACACCTTCATCATAGTTCCCATCTCTGAAACAGATAAGCTGCTTAAACACATGAATAGCCTTGAACCAACCATACATTTCACATCAGAGATAGAGTGTGAAGGGAAGATAGCATTCTTAGACACTCTAGTTCATAGACACGACAACCATAGGCTCTCCACCTCAGTCTATAGGAAGCCTACCCACACAGACCAGTACATAGCGTTTGACTCTCACCATCCCATATCGGTGAAGAGAGGTCTAGTGAAATGTCTATTTGACAGAGCTTCACGCATTGTGACAAGTCCACAACAGCCATGCAAAGAACGGACCCGTGTTCACAGTGCCCTGAGTCTCAACGGTTACCCACGCCGTTTTATACACAATACCAAGAATAGGTCGTCGGAACCCAGGGATCAGAAGGTATACAAGACATTTACAGTCTTGCCGTACATTGATGGGGTCTCCCAACAACTCAAGCGCCGCCTAGAGAGCCATGGCATTCAAACGGTTTTCAGATCAGATACCACCCTACGTCAACAACTTACACGCCCCAAGGATCCAATAAGAGCATAAGAGGGACGTCAGACTTCGCCGAACTGACAACTCAGCCGTAGCCGAACATGCTTGGGATAACCAGCATCAACCAGACTGGGACGGGGTTCAGTGCCTTTCCCAGGAACGGCATTGGTATACACGGAGGGTAAAAGAAGCTATCAATATCCGTCTCAATCCTAATAATTTCAACAGAGACAACGGGATCGATATCCCCAAATTTTGGATGCGGACGATACGCCGCCATGACACTCACCCTCCTGGCGTCCAACACCTGTCGATTCCATTCAGCAGACGGTCCGAGCCAGCGGCCCATTGATTGGTTGAGTACCGTATGCGTCGGCCAATAGGCCTGGTGCATTAGCCGAACCAGCGGCCGAACCAGCGGCCTTGGTGATTGGTCGATCACCCTGTGCGTCGACCAATAGGCATTGTGCGTTATTGTTCCAATTATCGATCAAATTATAGACCGCTCCGCCGGTCCTCCCGTAAAGTCTAAAAGACCCTTGCTTACAGTAGTTTTCATCACCTGACGAAGTGTTGCAGATAGCGCATTAAACGTCGTGAACTTTTAGATTCCTTATTGACCACATTGCGAGACAAACGAATATCACTAGCGATATTATTTTTGATATTACTAAAGTTATCGAACAGAAACAAGATTCGCATATATGAGCTATGACCTTTGACCTACAAAGTACAAAATCAAACTTAGGCTGTGTTTTGATACCATGTACCTTAATATCAAATGTCATCCAAATCCGTAAAAGATTACTAAAGTTATCGAACGGAAACCAGATTTGTAATGTTATGGAAGGACGCAAGGACAGACGGCAGCGACTTTGTCATTGAGGGGATAATAATACTCTTCATTCATGATTAAAAGTTCTTTTCATGGAGGTAGTACAAAACTTTAGACAGGACCTTGAGACTTCTTTCTTTGGTCTTCTCTGTGTGAGGCAGCTCTGCTATAAGTACAAGAAAATATTTATTTATGAACTGAAACATTGTCAGTTGAATTAATAAACAAATCTTTTTAAACAAGTTAAAGACTTTACATAGACCTCAAACTCCTGATGTGGATCTTCTCTGTGTGGTAATCTGATATTTTGTCTGTTTGGAGCCAAAAGGGCGTTAACTCATTATTTTACACAGAGTGAACACCCTTCTGGCTCTTTACACAGACGATTTGATCCGGCAACAAGTAGTTAAATCAGAACTGATTTTATTATTTACTATATAAATCTATGTATCTACCGATACATATTATTGCTTAGTCCTCCAGACAAGCAAGCCATTGAGAGACACCGCTATACCCTTATCTTGCTCTCTTACGAGCAGTCCAAGACACAAACTAGGGACATGTTGCCAGTCAAGAAGAGGGGACGGAGGGAGAGACATAGGTAGATACGTAGATTTATATAGTAAATAATAAAATCAGTTCTGATTAAACTAATTCGCCTCAATCAACATATCTACCTATTATTGCTTAGACCAACACAGATGTAAGCGGGGGGCATGTCCCAAAAGGAGGTTAGCGGGGGCCAAGGAAGACGTTGCCGCCCTCAACGGCGCCGTAGCAAAAGACTCTTCACTGTCTGGAATATCCTTCAGATAAAAGAAAGTGAAGGTGTTGGGGGAAAGCCAAAAGGCAGCTTTCATATGGCCTATGGTCGGGAGGATAGTCGACAAATGCTCCATGCGAAAATGCACCGGAGCGATGGGGAGGTTGATCCTCTGCATGTTGAGCATCAACCTCAGTTTCCCCGAGCGCTTGGGGATGATAAAGATCGGAGAGAGACTCAGCAATGGGTGGTCTGCAACCCGTTCTATAGCACCCTTCTGAAGCAACATGAGAATCTCGCTTGAAATGAGCTGCTGGAAAGGAGCGGACAAGGAAGGCAGACAAACTAGAATGGCCCAGCCCAGGAGGGGCTCTACCAGTTCTATGTAAAAGCCCTCTCGCACGACTGAGAGCATGAGGGATGAGTGTCTGCAGTGACTGATAGCTTCCCAAGAGGGAAGGAACCACCGGAGCCGTCCGCCCACCCCGTCTCTGAGTGTCCCGGGCAACGCCTCAAAAGGGCCACTTGGTCTGGGGGAAAGTTTGAAGACTTGCGTCCTCCCCCCCCCCCCCTCCCCCGAACCTCTAGCAGACCCCCTGCCATGGCTTAGCCGAGGCTGGGGGAAGGGTGCCGCAGCACGGAAGGGTCCCAAAGCACGGCGGGGTGCCAGTGCCAGAGCCCACTGTTTTGATGTGGATGCAGCAGGCCGGCAAGTAGGCCATATCGACCGTCTGCTTCTTCCGATCAATGTCCTTCTGCAAAACAGAAGGAAATGTCTGAATAAAGAAGACGGACAACTCTCCCCAGGGATAGCTGGGGTAAAAGTGTCAGGGAGATATTTCTGGGAGTATTTGGAGGCAGAGTCCCAGTCTGACTGACGGGCAAGGGTCACTGATCCCCATTGCTGGGGGAAGCTACCTGTGGTAGCTGCCGACATCTCCCCTGGAGGCGCACCGAGGGCAGCGGGAGCTGAGGGTCTAAACCCCACCAACGGGCCGACGGCACGGGATGGAAAGCCAACAAGAAGCATCAGGCACCCGGACCCAAACGGCATATCAGATGTCAGAG